TTGTCTGTATTCCTCCCACCCCCATTTGTCTTTTTTTTCTTTCCTTCTGTTGAGTGTGTACTGAGGATCAAATGCTGAGCCTTTGTAGATGCTAAGCAAGTGCTACTCCTCACAAACCACTTTCTCTGTTTTCTTTCCACCTTACCATAGGGTTTGAATTTAAGAAGGTATAGCTTCAGAACAAAAGAGTTTGTTGTAAATAAGAACTGCTTAGGAAGGATCAAAAAGTCAGCCTGAATTATCTGATTTTGTTGCTTTTTGTTGGTGGTGGTGTTTTTAGAGATTGAACTCAAGGCCTTGTGTTTACTCCTAGCTCTCTGCCACTAGAGCCACAGCGCCCAGTGAGAATGATCTTATCATAACTGAAAATTTTAAAAATAGGCTGATAGCATCTAATTACCACAAACCATCTAGTCATGGTTGCCGCTGGCTGGCAGTAGAGGTTATAATCGATCTGTAAAAGCATTCCCCAGGGCTGTGGCTGAGTATATGATCTGGCCTGTTCAACAGGATTTTTTTCAGCACAAGGAGAACTGGACAATCTGAAAAGCTTGCCTACTTTTCTGTAAGGAAAAACAGTTCTTCTATCCTGTTGTATCATGTTTTGATATCTTTTTTTATTTTTTGTTGATAGTGGGGCTCGAACTCAGGACCTGGGCACTGTCCCTGAGCTTTTTCACTCAAGGCTAGCACTCTACCACTTGGAGCTACAGCTCCACTTCCAGTTTTCTGGTGCTTAATTGGAGAAAAGAATCTCATGGACTTCCCTGCCTGGGTTGACTTTGAAACCACAATCTTCAGATCTTATCCTTCTGAGTAGCTACAATTACAGACCTGAACCATGAGTGCCTGGCTTAATATTTTATGCTTCTTAAAAGTTTTTGTTTTGTTATTTGAGACAGAGTTTTGCTATGTATTCCAGGCTGGCCTTAAACTCTTGTATATATGCTGGTACTGGGGCTTTAACTTAAGGTCTCTGTGTGCTCTTGCTACTTTTTTCCTTAAGGCTAGAAGTGTTAAGCCACAAGTCCATTTCCAGCTTTTTGTTGGCTAATTGGAGATGAGGCTCTTCGATTTGTCTGTCCAGGCTGACTTCGAACCTCTATCCTCATATCTCAGTCTCCTGAATAGCCAAGATTACAAGTGTGAGCTCTGGCGCCTGACTCTAACCTAGAGGAACTCTTTCTTGTTTTTCCTTTCTCAACCACCCTAGGGCTAGGATTACAGGAGTGCATCATATTGCACCTAGCTTTAAGTGGATTAATGGTAAAGTTATAATCCTCATTGAAAGAAAAAAAATTGAGGGGCTGGGAAGGTGGCTCAGTGGTAGAGCGCTTGCCTTGCATGCCTGAGGCCCTGGGTTCGATTCCTCAGCAACACATAAGCAAAATGAAAAAAGCTGGAAGTGGCTCTGTGGCTCAAGTGGTAGAGTGCTAGCCTTGAGCTGAAGAGCTGAGGGACAGCGCCCAGGCCCAGAGTTCAGGCCCCACAACCGGACCCAAAAAAAAAAAAGAAAAAAAGAAAAAAAATTGAGATAATAGAGAAATGTACAATAAAACTCATTCTGCAGAAATAACTAAAGTCTGTTAAGCATTATTTCAGATTTTAAATGTACACAAATAATTTTGTTTTATTGAGATATAATTCACATAATAAAACTCTCCATTTCAAGGTATACACTTCAGTGGTTGTGGTTGTGGTTGTGGTTGTGTGTGTGTGTGTTTGTGTGTGTGTGTGTGTGTGTGTGTGTGTGTGTGTGTGCTGCTCCTGGAGCTTAAACTGAGGGTCAAGGCTCTAATCCTGAAGTTTTTTTGCTCAAGGCTAGGACTCTATCATCTGAGCCACAGCTCTACTTCAAGCTTTTTGCTGGTTCATTAGAGATTAGTGTCTCATGGACTTTCTGCCCAGGCTGGCTTGGAACAGAGATACTTAGATCTTAGCCTCCTGAGTAACTAGGATTACAGGTGTGAGCCACTGGAGACTAGCTACTCCATTCTTTTTATGCACAAATATGATATTGTATAGACTACTCATGCATTATTTATCTATTTGTCCATATTTTGCTTATCTATCTATTAGATGCTACACATATGGGGTATAGCCAGTATTTGTCCAGGATGTACAAGTTTGGTTTGTTTTTTTGGTACTGGGATTTGAACCCAGGGCCTCCTACTTGCTAGGCAGGCACTGCTACCACAGAGCCAGGACTCCAATCTGTCAGGATGAATAAGGCTGCTATTACCATTTATGTATAACTTAAAAAAAAACTATTTATTTATTTATTTATTTATTTAGTCAGTCATGGGGCTTGAACTCTGAGTCTGGGCACTGTTCCTCAGCTCTTCAGCTCAAGGCTAGTGCTCTACCACTTGAGCAACAGCTCCACTTCCGGCTTTTTCTGCTTATGTGGTGCTGAGGAATTAAACCCAGGGCCTCTACGCAAGCACTCTACCATTGAGCCACCTTCCCAGCCCCTAAAATTTATTTTTATTATAATGAGTACATTTCTTTTTGAATACTTCCTCCCAATTTTTCCATCCTGAGCCCTCACCCCTGTGTATAACTGTTTGTATAAACACAGTTTCAGTTCTTCAGGATGTGTGCTTAGGAAAGGAATTGCTGGTTCAAGTGGTGACTGTTTTAACTTTTTCTTTCTTTTTTCTTGGTGGTTCTGTGAATTGAAGTTATGGCCTGTGCTTGCTAGGCAGGCACTCTGAGCCACTCTGCAAGCTATGCTAATTTTTTTGAAGAACTCTCAAAATGGTTTCAATAGTAGCTTTATCTGTGTGTGTGTGTGTGTGTGTGTGTGTGTGTGTGTGTGTGTGTGTGTGTGTGTGTGTGTGTGTGCACGTGTGCTAGTCCTGGGGCTTGAACTCAGGACCTGAATGCTGTCCCTGAGCTTGCTTGCTTGCTTGCTTGCTTTTTGTGTGTGTGTGTGTCGGTTGTGGAGCTTGAACTCTGGGCTTGGGGGCTGTCCTTCAGCTCCTCAGCTCAAGGCAAGCACTCTACCACTTGAGCCAGAGCACCACTTTTGGTTTTCTGAGTGGTTTATTGGAGATAAGAGTCTCATAGCCTTTCCTGACCTGGGCTGGCTTTGAACCTGATCCTCAGATCTCAGCCTCCTGAATAGCTAGGATGACAGGCGTAAGCCCCTGATTCCCAGCCCTGAGCTTTTTTTGCTCAAGGCTAGCTCTCCCACTACTTGAGCCACAACTCCACTTCTGTTTCTTAATGGTTGATTGGAGATAAGAGTCTCGTGCTTTCCTGCTTGGACTAGCTTTGAACTTTGATCCTCAGATCTCAGCTTCCGTGGTAGTTAAGATGACAGGTGTGAGCCCTCAAAGCTCAGCTGCAGCTGTGGTATTTATATTCCCTTTGTCATTGTATCAGAGTTCCAATTGCTCAATAACCTCATCAGTTCCTCTCTCTCTCTTTCTCTTTCTCTTCTTCTTCTTCCTGCCCCTTTTCTCTTCTTTCCTTTTTGAGAACTCTAGCCATCCCAGCTGGTGGTATCTCACTGTGGCATTGATGTGCATTTCTTTAATGACTAATGAAGTTAAACATCTTTTCATGTGCCTGTTGATCAGCTTTAAAGAACTGTCTACCCAAACCCTGTGTTCATTAAAACAAAACAAAATCCACCACAGATTATTTAAAGAATAAATAACAGAGCCTGAGGTGCGGCTGAGTAGTTGAGCACTTGTCTATCAATTGACATGGTGGTCTAATCCCCCTACAATTACAAAGGGAAAAAATGAATACCAGAGGGGGTGGGATTGGAAAGGGATAGGAAGGGGAAACAAAGGAGGAGGCAACAATGCTTGATAAGAAATGTACTCATCTTGGGCTGGGATGTAGCTCAGTGGCAAAGCGCTTGCCTAGCAAGTGCAACGTCCTGGGTTCGATCCCCAGTACCAAAAAAGAAAAGACAAAAACAAAACAAAACAAAAAAAAAGAAATGTACTTATTATCTTGCCCATGTAATTATGACCCCTCTGTACGGTATTCCCCCTCCAATATATATATATATATAATAATAAAAATAATAATTAAATATATACAGATATATAATATAAATTCAGATGTTACACAAAATAATTTTTAAAGTCAAAGAAATTTTTAAGATTAAAAAAAGTATACCATAATTTTATAAAGAAAAACAAAAAATAAAACTAGGTGTTTTCACATTGAAGAGTTCTCTATATTTTCTGGATAAAAATGTCATATATATGACTTGCAAATATGTTCTCCCATTCTATCCATTTGACTCTGTTGTTGATGTTTAGAACTAAGATTACTTATGACATATACCATTCTGTAGCTTGTTTCTTTTCCCTAGCAGAGCATAATGAATGTCATTCTGTGTCAAGAGAAAGCTGCCTCATGCCAAGTAGCTATAATCCTAGCTACTCAGGAGTTTGAGATCTGAGGATCAAGATTCAAAGTCAGCGTGGACTGTAAAGTCCATGAGATTTTTTTTTTTTTACCTCCAATTAACCAGCAAAAAGCCAGAAATGGAGCAGTGTCTCACATGGTAGAACACCAGCATGGAACAAAAAAAGCTCAGGGGCAGCACCCAGGTCCTGAATACAAACCCCAGGATTGGCACAAAAAATAAAATAAAATAAGGGCTGTTACATCTCCCCGCCCTCCACCCTGTCTTCTGTCCTCCATGCTCATTCTTTTTCATGGCTATGTAGAATTCCACTACAGATGTAGCTTCCTTGACCAGCCCTCTACTGGGCTTTGAAGAATTTTCAGATGACTTTTTAGTGGGAGACTTGATACAGCTGCTCTTGAGCCCAAACGGCCACCTAACCACTGCACTGTCATCTTCTCTGCAAGTAGACAAAGAAAATATCTATAACCTGCTCACACTTCCTCTCTGAACCTAGTGGTTTCACAATCACTACAGGCACACACGCCCCTCCTACCTCTGCTCAAAGTCACTAGTCTGGTGTCGGGTGAGAAATTTCTATATTGCAAGAGGCCCCCAGGGCATTGTCATTTCCCTCTTTCACGCAGTGTAGGCTGCCAGCAAATCTAAAAGGCCTGAGACTGAGGCCCGGGTCCAGTGTGGGAAAGATGAACTCCTGTAACACCACCATCAGGCGGCTGCTGTCTGGGCTCTTTCTGTTCGGTAGGAAATTGGGGGAAGAAAGGGAAAGGGACTGGGGTTTGTGACCAGGAAAATTGCAGGGCTCTGTGGTGGATCTGGAGATAAATAACCAGGGGCTGCTCATGGGGTGGATTGGTGTAAGAAATCCTGGAGCGGGACAGGGAAAGGAAAGGAAGCCAGCACCCAAAACACAGGCAGAGTGTGGAGGGAATTAAGGAAGAGCTGGGGGGCTGGTAGCTCATGCCTGTAATCCTAGCCAGTCAGGAGACTGAGATCTGAGGATCAAGGTTTGAAGCCAGCTGGGGTAGGGAAGTCCATGAGACTCTTATCTACAATTAGCCATCAAAAAGCTGAAAATGAAGCTGTGGCCTTGAGCAAAAACAGTTCAAGGATAGTGCTCACACCCTGAGTTGGAACCCCAGGATGGGTACAAACAAACAGATAAATAAAGGTAGATGCTGAATAAGGTATGGAATGGGCACATGTAATCCCAGTATTCAAGCGACAAAGTGTGAGGATCAGGAGTTCCAGGTCAGCCTGGGATATATAGGGAAACCTTGTCTCAAACAACTAAAAAATTAAGACATTAATGAGCACATAGGAGAATGCTGGATTCAGATGCTCCTGCTGGCATTCCGTTTCTGATTGGTCTTAAGCCAGACCCTTTGGCAGGCCTCTGACTCTTCATCTGAGCAAATGAAGGTTCTGATATCCCAAGATGCTGTGAATTAAGTTCAAATTCTGGGCCATGGAAGGTTGAGAAAAGACAGTTTGGAGTTTTGCAGATGACAACTAAGCTGCCTGAGATGTGTGTGTGTGTGTGTGTGTGTGTGTGTGTGTGTGTGTGTGTGTGTGTGTGTGATCTAAAGGCTCAGGGAGTGACCCATCTTTGAAGGGGTGGGGTTGGGGGAGCCTCAGACGACAATGCATCTTGAATCTCGGAGGCTGATAAGTGTGTTCTCAGATGCGTCGGGCCCATGCCCCCCAGGAGGAGTGGATGAGATTGAGCAACCTATCTGGGGTATCCCCATCTGGGCTCAAGTCGGGGAACCATGGTCACCCTAAACCTCAGGGCCCCTTCCGTTGTGGGCTCCTTACTCAGGGCTTCCACCTTCTCATTCTTTCTTGTTTGTTGATGGACAAAAGAGAAGTTGTGTCTCTCTCAGGCCTTGAGAAGCGTTTCTGGAGCCCTGGGTGGCAGAGAGGGGGAGCTCCATGGTCCTGAGGGTCCAGAGGGTCAGGACCTGGCTGCACTCAAGGCCTTCATGTGTATCTTGATTGAGGGGCAGGAGAGGAGGGCCTAGGTACCGGGCACGTGGACAGCAGCCAATCAGCGCCCGCACTGTGAATGCGTTGAATGCGGTATCAATGCAGTAGGGGGGCTGGGGGCAGGTGTCTCCTGAGTCAGGGAAGCTGTCCAGACGGGAAGTACTGATCTCCCTCTCTCCCCACGCAGTGTTGGCCTCGAGCTACAACCTGGACGTGAGGCACGTGCAGGAGTTCTCCTCCCCACACGCGGGGAGGCACTTCGGGTATCGAGTTCTGCAGGTTGGAAACAGGTGAGCTGTGGGGGCCCCTCAAGTCCTTCCTGACCTGTAGAGTGCAACCTCAAGGCCCAGCGTCCAGGCCTACATGTCACACGGCCAGGAAATGTAGCCATGCTTTTTGTTGTTGTTTTGGTACTGAGGGGCTTGAACTCGAGGCCTTGAGCACTTTTTTGTGTGTGTGTCAGTCGTGGGTCTTGAACTCTGGTCCTAGGTGCTGTCCCTCAGCTCTTCAGCTCAAGGCCAGCACTCTACCACCGGAGCCACAGCGCCACTACGGTTTTTCTGGTGGTTTATTGGGTATGAGTTCCATGGAGTTTCTTGCCTGGGCTGGCTTTGAACCGTGATCCTCAATCTCAGCCTCCTGAGTAGCTAGGATGACAGGTTTGAGCTACCAGTGCCCAGTGCCCAGCAGGCCTTGAACTCTTGCTTTTTTTTTCCTCTCTCAAAGCTTTACCACTTGAGCCACAGCTCAAGTTTTGTTTGTTTGTTATTTCTTTGCTGTTTAATTGCACATAAGTCTCACAGACTTTTCTGCCAGTCTGACTTTGAACCCGATCCTCAGATCTCAGCCTCCTCACTAGCTAGGATTTATAGGCATGAGTCACCTGTGCCTGACTGCTGGCATTCTTTAGAAACAGGAAAGGCTGTCAGATAATAGAATGAGGACTTAAGTGTCATTTAAGTGGCAAATGAGAAGCACCATAACCCCTAAAACATTTCTGTGTGTTCTAAGGTTGATATGTTTTCTTTTAGCTTTTTTAAATGAGGTCTGTCTATGTAGCCAGGCTTGCCTGGAACTCATGAACTCAGTCTCCTGAGTGCTAGGATTATAGGTGTGCACTACCACACCAGTTTACATTCTAGTAGAGTTTTATGAGGTAGAGATTTGGCCTCTTTCTTCTTCCTAGTGCGTACTCCAGCCTAAGTAAATAGTACATAAGTCATAAATGGCTTTTGAATTGATGACTGAACAAACCAACTCAGCAGCCTTGGGCAGATTATTCTCTGGGCCTCAAGTTTTCTAGGCTTCCATGGGAAAAGACCCTTAACTTTCTAGAATTCAGGCATATGGCTTATTAGTCCAATGAGTTCTTGTCTCATTGCTTGGCATGCTCCTTTCCTAGGGGACACAAGGCCCATTTGATAATGGCAGTAAATAATCAGCCTCCAACCCCCTTTACCTTGGGATGGCACTCCTCTGGGGCAGCTACCACCATATAAGGCACCAAGAGCCCTTTAGAGTGACCTTCAGGTCTGGGCCACTGCAAGGCCCCTTACCTACTACTTGGGCAGCAGCCATAAATCCTAGCCCACCATGATGAAGCCCCACATCCACACCAGGATCTCACCTCCTAGCTCCTTCTAGGCCCTCCTAAACCTCCTAGGTTATATAGGTCACCTCAGACAATAGCCAGCGCTTCTTTTTACTGTTCTCTCTTGTGAGAAGGGGTCTTGCCAGTCCCTTTACTGGCAATAAATCTTTTCTTTGTTCTTTGTACCTGAATGTTTGCGTGGTTTTCTGGCAAAGTCTAATATACTTTAACATGGCTATTTCTCGGGAACTTAGGAGCGGTCTAAGGAGGTCTCCCGAAAAGCAGGGGGAGTATTGCTTTGATAGGGAATCTGAAGCCCCAAAGAGTCAGGAGTGGGTGGGTAAAGGCCTGGGCAACTACATCTCTCAGGTGGGTTTTCTCCTCAGGGTTGTCGTAGGAGCGCCAGGTGAGGGGAACAGCACTGGAGGCCTCTATCAATGCCAGCTTGGCCGGAAACACTGTCTTTCAGTTAGCCTGAGTGGTGAGTAATTGGTGAGAGGCTTTCAGGGAAATCGAGGCTGGCCCCAACACTCCTGGATTGCCTGAGTTCTTCCAGACCAACCTTCTGGTATCTACAGGTTCCAACTATACTTCCAAGTACCTGGGAATGACCTTGGTGGCAGACCCCACACATGGAAGCCTTTTGGTAAGAATTTTGTACAGGGATGATAGAGAGCTTAGGAAACTCAATATGGAAAGAGGAGGTTGTGGGTAGTGGGAGGGAGCAGAGGAGCACTTGCTGAGTATGTGCAAGGCTCTGGATTTGATCCCAGCACTAGGAGAAAACAAACAATTGATGTGTGGAATGAGGGAAGAAGTACATAGATTCAAGATTCCTTAGAAGGTTAAAGGCATCTGAGAGCTTCATTCAGTCTTTGATGAGAACCAACTATTAGCCAGTTATTTTCAAGAGCCTACTAACTTCAAGAGTTATTTATATTGACCTTTTGTGTGTGTGTGTGTGTGTGTGTGTGTGTGTGTGTGTGTGTGTGTGTGTGTGCTGAGACTGGGGCTTGAACTCAGGACCTCAAGCTCTTGATTGTCTGGTGCTCTACCACTTGAAACATACTCCCAGTTTCAGGGTTTTTGTTTGTTTGTTTGTTTATTTGGTTTTTGTTTTTTGCCAGTCCTGGAGCTTCAACTCAGGGCCTGGGCACTGTCCCTGAACTTCTTTTGCTCAAGACCAGCACTCTGTCACTTGAGCCACAGTACCACTACCAGCCTTTTCTGTTTATGTGGTACTGAGGAATCGAAGCCAGGGCTTCATGCATGCTAGGCAAGCACTCTACCACTAAGCCACATTCTCAGCCCCAGTTTCAGGTTTTTGGTGGCTAGCTGGAGATGAGTTTCTCAAATCTGTCTATCCAGGCTGGCTTTGAGCCATGATGTTTAGATCTCAGCCCCTGAGTAGTTAGGATTTATAGACATGAACAACTGGCCCCCAGCATTTTTTTTAACATGCAAGATATGTGACTATTGATATACAATGTTATTGTTTTTGGTGCTATACCTTTTAATGTCTCAGTGTTTATATATTTATGCTTTGAGTTTTTTTTTCAACTTGGCTTTGTTTTGACACAGGGTCTCACTACACAGCTCAGATTGATCTTGAACTCACTATATAGACCAGGCTAAGCTTGAGTTGTAATCACCCTACCTCTACCTTCTGAGTGTACCACCATGCCCTGCCTGATCTAGTGTTTAACTGTACCTTGTTTATGAAGATACTGCCAGATAGATATCAGGCATTGTGCTAGTTGATTTTTTTGGTCGGTCGTGGGGCTTGAACTCTGGGCTTGGGTGCTGTCCCTGGGCTCTTCAGCTCAAGGAGAGTGCTCTACTGCTTGAGCACTCTACTGTTTGGAGATCAGAGTCTCACGGACTTTCCTGCCTGGGCTGGCTTTGAATCACAATCCTCAGATCTCAGCCTCCTGCATAGCTAGGATTACAGGCATGAGCCACCAGCACCCGACTTGTGCTAGTTGTTTTGTGGTTGTTTTTTTTTTCCCAGTTGATCATGGGGCTTGAATTCAGGGCTTCAGCACTGTCTGTGAACTTTTTGCTCAAGGCTTGCACTCTACCACTTTGAGCCACAGCTCTACTTTTAGTTTTCTAGTGGTTAATTGGAGATAAGAGTGTCCCAGACTTTCCTACTCGGGCTGGCTTTGAACTATTAAACTCAGATCTCAGCCTCATGAGTAGCTAGGAGTACAGGTGTGAGCCACTAGCACCCAGCTATGCTAGATTTTGATAGAGGAAGTTATTATATATATAAAATGACTTAGACACTATAACTTGCAGTCAGGGGATAGAAGTATGGCTCAAGTGGTAGAGTGCTTGCCTAGGAACTGCAGGCTGGCAAGAAAGAGTTACAAGTAAAGGAAGCAGCATTGTGTCTTCTGTGGTTTGACATATGCAGAATGTTTGATGGCACCAGTGGGTCACACCTGTAATCCTATCTACTTAAGAAGCTGACATTGCGGTTTAAAGCCAACTCAGGCAGGAAAGTCTGTGAGATTTTTTTTTCCCCTTATTGGTCATGGGGCTTGAACTCAAGGCCTGCGTGATCAAGCCTTACTCTCTACCATTTGAGCCATGGAGCCACTTCTGGTTTTCTGGGGGTTAGTTAAGAAGTCTTATGGATTTTTCCTGCCTGAGCTGGCTTTGAATTGCAATCCTCAGATCTCAGCCTCCTGAGTAGCTAGGATGACAGGTGGGAGCCACTGGTGCCTGGCTCCATGAGATTTTTCTCTCCAATTGCCTTGAAAAAGCTAAGGGACAATGCTCAGGCCTTGTCTTCAGACCCCAGTACCTGCACAAAAAGAAAGAAAGAAAAAAAGAAAGAAAGGAAGGAAGGAAGGAAGAAAGGAAGGAAGGAAGGAAGGAAGAGAAACAGAAACAGAGGCAGAGAGACACAGAGACAGAGATAGAGACAAAGAAGACAAAAAAAATGTGTGATTGGGAATGGGAGGGCATGGTGCCCCCTTGTACACAGTATCAATGAGGAAGTGAGGAGTTTAGATTTTATTTATGGGCGGTGAGATCTATGGCTTAGAGCCTTGGCAGTAGGGATGGAGGGATGAGTATGAGAGATCTCATGGAGGCCGAATTGCCTCTCTTTGGTAACATTGGTACAGGAAGTGACGGAGGGGGACAGGATTCAGAGTGGGCTCATTCTATGCTGATGATGCCCAGAAGACACAGAAGAAAGGGAAGTCTTAGCCTGTTTTTCCTTTGCTTCCTTCAGGCCTGTGATCCTGGGCTGTCTCGGACATGTGACCAGAATACTTATCTGAGTGGCCTCTGTTACCTGTTTCCCCCAAATCTGGGGGGACCTGTGCTGCAAGGGCGTCCTGGCTACCAAGGTACGGAATCCACGGGGCTCACAATACCTCTAAGTAGCTGCTCCTCTGTGGGAAGCAGCACGGGTGGGCCAGACACTGGAGATGGGTCCTCAGGTTCCTCTGTATCTGGCCTCTGCAGAATGCATCAAAGGCAAAGTGGACTTGGTATTTCTGTTTGATGGCTCCCGGAGCTTACAACAAGGTGAATTCCAGAAAATTGTGGACTTCATGAAAGATGTGATGAGGAAACTCAGCAACACGTCTTACCAGGTGACTGTACTAGTTGGGCTCCTTGGTTGTAGGCAGTAGCTGCCTAGCTGAACTGGCAGATGGAGCATGTGTGGATGGGTCTCCAGACGCTACAGGGTAGGACCCATACCTTTACCTCTGACTGGGATAAGAACAAGGGAGTTGATTCTAGAGTTCTGTCTTGTTTTCATTTCTCTTCCTTCCTTCCTTCCTTCCTTCCTTCCTTCCTTCCTTCCTTCCTTCCTTCCTTCCTTCCTTCCTTCCTTCCTTCCTTTCTTTCTTGTTGGTCATGGGCCTGAACTCTGGGCCTGGCGCTGTCCCTCAGCTCTTCAGCTCAAGGCTAGTGCTCTACCACTTGAGCAACTGCTCCACTTCCGGCTTTTTCTGCTTATATGGTGCTGAGGAATCAAACCCAGGGCCTCAAGCATGCAAGGCAAGCACTCTACCCTTGAGCCATCTTCCCAGCCTAAATAGGCTTACTATCTTTTTTTTTTTTTTTGTCCTGGGGCTTGAACTCTGGGCCTAGGCGCTGTCTCTGGGCTCTTCAGCTCAAGGCTAGCGCTCTACCACTTGAGCCACAGCGCCACTTCCTCATTTCTGTTTCTTCTGTGCTTCTGTTTCCCTCTTCCCTTTCTTGCTATCTTTGTCAATTGTCTCCCTCAGCTTTGGATAACATGGGCCTGTGGAAAGCTCTTAAGTTCACATGAGTTCCTCAAGAGTATTTTAGCTTCCTTTCAACCAACTCCTGCACATTCCAGGTCTTCAGAGATGAAATTCTGACTAGCCTAGCTTCTGCTTAGGGGTCTGTCTCACACACATGGGTCTACTGGGTGCTACCCCATACTGGTGAGGTAGACAAGTCCAGAGACCCAGAGCTTAGCACACAGCTCTGCACAGGGAAACAGATGTTTTTAAAAAGTTGTTTTTTGCCAGTCCTTGGGCTTGAACTCAGGGCCTGGGCACTGTCCCTGAACTTCTTTTGCGCCAGGCTAGCACTCTACCACTTGAGCCACAGTGCCACTTCCAGCTTTTTCTATTTATGTGGTATTGAGGAATCGAAGCCAGGGCTTCATGCATGCTAGTGCTTGCCTAGCTTACCACTAAGTCAATTCCCAGCCTAAGATTTTTGTTCCCACTCTTATTGTATTTTGTTTCATCTTCCAAAGAATAACTGATTTAAGGCAGGGATGTGGAGTTGGGTCTTGCAGAAGAAGTAGCGATTGGAGCAGACAAGTGGCAAAAAATCTGAGACAATATAGCTTTTTTTTCTTTCTTTCTTTCTTTCCTAGTTTGCTGCTGTTCAATTTTCCACATCCTACAAAACGGAATTTAATTTCTTAGATTATGTTAAACTGAAAGACCCTGATGTGCTGCTCGCCAGTGTAACCCACATGGGCCAATTGACCAACACCTTTGGTGCCATCAACTACGCCGTGTGAGTTCCATTTGAAGAGAGGATAGGGCCATTTGTTTGGTGTGTGGGAAGTAGCTTCTTCCAGCTCTATGATGTAGGAATGTAGATCACTACACTGAGGGTAAGTTTTACTGTGTGAATTCAAGGGAAGGTGGGTGTCAGGCATGGTAGCATACACCTGACGTCCCAGCTGAGGAGACTGAGACAAAAAGATTGTAAGCTCCAGGCCAGCCGAGCAATATAGCAAGTTTGAAGCAGGCTATGAAAGGAGACCTTGTTAAAATAGCAACAGCAAAATACCCCAAACCTGCCTTGAGCCAAACACAGTGGTACAGGTCTATAGTCCCAGCTGCCCAAGAGAATGAGACAGGAGGATCACTGGAACCCAAGAGTTTGGGATCAGTCTGGGCAATACATTAAGATCCATCTCAAACTGGGCACTGGTGGCTCACGCCTATAATCCTAGCTACTCAGGAGGTTGAGATCTGAGGCTCAAGATTCAAAGCCAGCCTGGGACTCTCTTATCTCCAATTAACCATCAGAAAACTGGAAATGGCACTGTGGCTCAAGTGGTAGAGCGCTAGCCTTGAGCTGAAGAGCTAAGGAACAGTGCCTAGGCCCAGAGTTCATGTCCCATGACTAACCAAAAAAAAAAAAAAGATCCCATCTCAAAAGGAAAAAACTTAAAACCTTATTTTTCAATATTAAAATAGCCATGGGAACTGAGACTGATTTGGGGAAAAGATAATTTATATTTCATCTTACAACCCCCCTTCCCTCCCCCCCCCCACCCCGCTCACATTCAGTTATAAACTAGAAGAAAAGATCACCACATACATGCCTATAATCCCAACTACATCAGAGGCTAAGAACCTGGAGGATATCAGTTTAAAGCCAGCCCAGGAAGAAAAGCCCATGAGACTTTTATCTTCAATTAACCAGCAAAATGCTGGACTGGTGGTGTGGCTCAACTGGTAGAGTGTCAGCCATGAGCAAGAAATCCAAATGAATTTAAACCCCAAGACTGGCCCCCTAGCAAAAGTTTCAGTTTTTCTCCTTTGTCAAGTTCAATTTAAGGCAAACAGTGTTTGCTATACCCCTCATGACTCCCTGTGTTTTTCCTGCTAGTCTGGGGTTTACCTGGTCTGTCAGATCCATGTCATTCTCTCTGTAAACAGCCCTGGTGGGAATATGGTGAAGCTAGATCTACTCACAAACTAGCAACCTCACCAGCTGCCAGTGGCTTACACCTGTAATCCTAGCTACTCAGGAGGCTGAGATCTGAGGATCACAGTTTAAAGCCAGTCAAGGCAAGAAAGTTGGTGATACTTTTATCTCCAATAAACTACCCAAAAGCCAGAAGTAGAGCTGTGGCTCAAGTGGTAGCATGCTAGACTTGAGCAAAAGAAGCTCACCGGATAGTGCCCATGCCCTGAGTTCAAGCCCCAGGACCAACAGAAACGAAATCAAACCGAACAAACCTAGCAGTCAGTTCCTCAATGCAGATGAACCACCTCAATTCCAGTGTCCAGGATAGAAAATCTTTTTTTTTTTTTTTTTTGCCAGTCGTGGGGCCTGAACTCTGGGCCTGGGCGCTGTCCCTCAGCTCTTCTGCTCAAGGCTACCACTCTACCACTTAAGCCACAACACCACTTCCAGATTTTTCTGCATATGTGGTGCTGAGGAATCAAACCCAGGGCCTCATGCATGCAAGGCAAGCGCTCTACCACTGAGCCACCTTCCCAGCCCCTGGATAGAAAATCTTAATGTCCAGAGTCCACCTAGTCCTGACCTACATCCACTTTATGTTGTAGTCACATAACACACAGGTCAAAATTGGTGTCCCACTTCTGCGGAAAGAAGTCATAGAATAAACTTTTCTCAAGTGGGCAGATTACTCACACCTATAATCTCAACTACTAAGAAGGCAGAGATAGCAAGATTTTTATGTGAGACCAGGATAAAAACAGCATGATGGTTCAGGTCTGTTTATCCCAGCTGGTAGAGATAGAAGGATTAAAATCTGGGCTGGGAAGGTGGCTCCAGTGGTAGAGCGCTTGCCTTGGATGCATGTGGCCCTGGGTTTGATTCCTCAGCACCACATAAGCAGAAAATGCCAGAAGTGTCACTGTGGTTCACAAGTGGTAGAATGCTAGCCTTGAGCTGAAGAGCTGAGGGACAGCGCCCAGGCCCAGAGAGTTCAGGCCCCACGACTGAACAAAAAGAAAAAAGAAGGATTGAAATCTGAGGCCAGTCCTGGACAGAATCCCGAGCTCTATATGAAAAATAACTTAGCAAAAAGGGCTGAGGGTTGACTCCAGTAGTAAAGCACTTGCCTAGTAAGCTGAATGCCCTGAGTTTAAACCCTAGTACCAAAAGGACCAAGACAAAGAAGAAGAACAAGAAAGGAAACAATTAAGTTCATAGAGGAAGGGGTCACAGGAGGTGAGAAGACTCTTACAAAGTGTCATTTGTGGGAGGAAAAAGCAGCAATCATGGGAACTTAGGTCATCAACACTTCTGACTGAGTGGCTTTGGGCCAAGAATCAACCAATCTTTTCTATAGAGAGACAGGAATGATTTTACAGCCATTTCTGCCTACACATAGCTTCCCTTGCATACTTTTCTTTGTTTGATTTTATAATCCTATAACAATCTAAAAACCATTCTTAGATTGTAGACATAAAAAGAACATGCTGCAGACTGGATTTAAGCCCATGTGTGTTGGGAAGGTGGATTGCCATATTCTAAGTTCTGGGAATACTGCATCAGAATATGAGATGAAACATATAATTAGATCCCTGCCCTCTGGAGCTTGACATTTCAGTAGGTGAAAGGAATGTAGAAAATAGAATGCATAAGAAAGTTAGAGGCTGGGAATGTGGCTTAGTGGTAGAGTGCTTGCCTAGGATACATAAAGCCCTGGGTTCAATTGGTCAGTATCATATAAACAGAGAAAACCCTAAGTGGCTCTGTGGTTCAAGTGGTAGCTTGCTGGCCTTGAGCAAAAGAAGTTCAGGGACAGTACCCAGGCCCTGAGTTCAAGCCCTATGACCAACAAAAAAAGAAAGAATAGAAAAGAGTCTCACAGACTTTCCTGACTAGGCTGGCTTTGAACTATGATCCTCAGATCTCAGCCTCCTAAGTGTGGCTGTAAGAATTTGTGTGTGTGTGTGTGTGTGTGTGTGTGTGTGTGTGTGTGTGTGTGTGTGTGTGTGTGTGTGTGTGTGTGTACCAGTACTGGAGCTTGAGCTCAGGGCCTGGGTGATATCCCTGAGCTTATTCACTCAAGGCTAGCACTCTGCCACTTGAGTCACAACACTGTTTCTGGATTTTTGGTGGTTAATTGGAGATGAGTGAATCAAGAGCTTTTCTGGCTTCAGGGTTGATAATAGATTGCTAAGGGGTCAAGAGGCCAGTTAGGAAGCTACTAAAAACTGCACATGAGGGGCTGGGAAGGTGGCTCAGTGGTAGAGTGCTTGCCTTGCATGCCTGAGGCCCTGGGTTCAATTCCTCAGCACCACATAAGCAAAAAGAAAAAAGCTGGAAGTGACACTGTGGCTCAAGTGGTAGAGCGCTAGCCTTGAACTGAAGAGCTGAGGGACAACGCCCAGGCCCAGAGTTCAGGCCCCACAACCAGACCCAAAAAACTAACAAAACAAAACAAAAAATAAAAACTGCACATGAAAGACAGTTGTGCTCTGAGCCAGGCAGGAATCCACAAGTGGAGTCCATGACAGACCATGTCCATGTGGATGGGAGCTGGGGAAACATTGTATACCAGAGACAAAGCCAGAGGTCTGTCTGTCTGTCTGTCTTTCTCTTTCTTTCTTTCTTTCTTTCTTTCTTTCTTTCTTTCTTTCCTCCTTCCTTCTTTACTTTCTTTTTGTCAGTCATGGGACTTGAATTCGGCCTGGGTACTGTCCCTGAGCTCTTTAGCTCAAGGTGAGTGCTCTACCATTTGAGCCACAGTACCACTTCTGGTTTCCTGGTGGTTAATTGGAGATAAGAGTCTCACGGACTTTCCTAGCTTTGAACCGTGATCCTCAGATCTCAGCCTCCTGAGTAGCTAGGATTACAAGCATGAGCCACTGGTGCCTGGCTGAAGCCAGAGGTCTTGATAGCAGGTCTTGACATCTGTGGTCAGGTGCTTAGCTTAGTTGCTGTTCCCAGTAAGAGCTGTGGTAATCTGACTTGCTCAGGAGACCATGGACAAGGCAGGAATTTTGAGCCTTAATCTTTTTTTTTTTTTGTCATCGGTCGTGGGGCCTGAACTCTGGGCCTGGGCGCTGTCCCTCAGCTTTTCAGCTCAAGGCTAGCGCTCTACCACTTGAGCCATAGTGCCACTTCCAGCTTTTTCTGCTTATGTGTTGCTGAAGAATCGAACCCAGGGCCTCATGCGTGCAAGACAAACGCTCTACCACTGAGCCACCTTCCCAGCCTGAGCCTTAATCTATTTTATATCAAGTGTACTGATCTTTTCTTTCCCTTCCCCACCTCTAGTAGTATTGGAGTTTAGCCTCAGGGTCTTGGGCTCGCTAGACAAGCACTATACCACTTGGGTCACACCCACAGCCCTTTTTGTTTTCCTTCTTTTTCAAATAGCGTCCTGTTTATGCTATTGCCAGCCTGGATCATGATCCTCCTATTTATGCTTCTCTTGTAGCTAAGATGGAATGTCACCACCTCCAACTCTAAATTGCTTGAAATGGAGTCCTTCAGAATGTATTTCCTTAGGCTGGGCTTGTATTTAGAGTTTCATGATCTTAGCCTCTGAAGTAGCTAGAATTGTTAACAGGCGTGAGCAGCTGCTTGCTGAAGATGCTTGCTCTGGAAGGATGACTCAGTTTCCCTTGGCTTCCCAGCCCAGTTGTGTGGGGGTGTTTTTCCCATAGAGAGCATCTCCAGCTGGTGAAAGGCTGGTGATTGGAAAGGGCATGGTTGGGATGGAGAGGAGATAGAGCCCCAGAGTCACTTCTTAAAAAATGCTCATCTTTGCTACCCATGAGCTCTGGGATGCCCATTGGCATTCTTGCCTTGAGGGAAGGGGGCAGCAGCAGAGGAGAAGGGGCTCAGAGGAGAATGGCAAAAGTGTGCAAGACAGTGATGTAAAGACTAGGTGTGGGGGACCTTAGGCCTGGTTTGGGGAAGTCTCTCAGACACCTCCTTTCCTGGACACAGGACGCAGGTGTTCCGGCCAGAGCTGGGGGCCCGGCCAGATGCCACCAAAGTGCTCATCATCATCACTGACGGCGAGGCCACTGACACTGGTAACATTGATGTGGCCAAAGACATCATCCGCTACATCATTGGGGTATGGGCGCCAGGCCTTTGCAGCTGCTGCTACCTCACTGTTTTCTCTCCTAGCCCCCAGCTCCCTGGGTCCCCTTTGTCCCTGAGCTAAGTTCTTGTGACCATGAGACATGTCAGCTCTTCAGTCTTCACTCTCTCACAGGTTGGAAGGCATTTTAAGACCGCAGAGAGTCAGGAGACACTGCACAAATTCGCCTCCAAACCCATAGAGGAGTTTGTAAAGATTCTGGACACATTTGAGAAGCTGAAAGATCTGTTCACAGAGCTGCAAAGGCGGATCTATGACATCGAGGGTGCGTGTCAGACCCTGGGAGAGAGGGGCCTGGGGTAGAACGCTCGGTGGTAGCTCATAGTCACATTGGATAAAGACAGTGAGCTGGATGTTAGCAGGTCACACCTGCAGTCCTAGCTACTCAGGAGGCTAAGACCTGGAGGACTGTGGATGGTGATTTAAAACCAGACCAATCAGAAAAGACTTCCAGGCTCTTCTAGGGAAAAAAAAAGGGGAAGAGGTTGGGGGAGACCTGAAGGTGTGTCTCAGGTGGTAGAATACCGGTCATGAACAAAAAATCTGAAAAAGAGCATGAAGCACAGAATTCAGGCCCTGGTACTAGCACAAGAAAAAAAAAAAGGTGGGGGGAGGAAGGAGGGAGGGAAGGAGAGAGAGGGAGAGATACACAGACAGAGACAGACAGAAAGAGAAGAAAGAGGATCCAAACCCAAGTGATGGTAGTGCAGATGATCAGAGAGCTAGATAGGCATATCTTTTTTTTTGTTGGTTTTTTCTATTGTTATTATAAAGGCGATGTACAGAGGGGTTACAGTTATATAAATCAGGTAATGAATACATTTCTTTTTTTTTTTTTTTTTGTCGGTCGTGGGGCCTGAACTCTGGGCCTGGGCGCTGTCCCTCAGCTTTTCAGCTCAAGGCGAGTGCTCTACTTGAGCCACAGCGCCACTTCCAGGTTTCTCTGCTTATATGGTGCTAAGGAATCGAACCCAGGGCCTCATGCATGCAAGGCAAGCACTCTACCACTGAGCCACCTTCCCAGCCCATGAATACATTTCTTTTTGGACAGTGCTACCCCTTCCCTCACTCTTACTCAGTTTCCCCCTCCCATCCCCACCCACAAGTTGTATAGTTCATTTTCAACATAGTGTCTTAGTGGGCACACTGCTGCATTTGTTCACCCTCTGTCTCCCCATTTCTGTGCCCCCTTACCCTTCCAAAGGGGGGGGGGGGGGAAAGAACAAACAAGACAAAGAGAAGAAAAAGAAAAAAAATTCTTTCATTTCTATTTCCTAGAGTTCATTCAATAAATTATTATTTTAGATGATCAGAGAAACAGTGGCCTTGTACCTTTGTGTCCCTCCCCTAAGTGTGTCCTCTTTGGCCTCACTGTGTGTGAGTGCCTAGTGTCCGGTATCATTTCTCAAACATCTTAGATCTGGCTTCGGCAGATGGGAGGAAACATGCTGTTTAGACAGGCATACGTTGAAGGCAGAGCCATCACGATTTGGTATACTAGAGACAGGATGTGGTGAAGGCAGAAGCATGCTTGATTCTGGGTTCTTACAACTTTTGTAGGTGTGATGGGTGGTGTGGGGGAGGGGGGGCTGCCATCTGTAGACATGGGAAGCCTGGGTAGGAACAGAAATTGAGGGCTACATCTCAGACGGTTGGTATCCCTGGAGTTAGACAGGGGAAAGCCCCTCAGTGTGAAGGCCACATCCCTCGTGGCCCTCTTCTGTTTGATTCCAAGGTTCACATTCATTCTTTGTACCGTGATCCATGCTGACTGTCCTTCCCCCTTCATGCTCCCAAGGGCATCACTGTTCTTACTGCTCCTTGGTTCCAGCCTTTTCCTTAACCTTGTCCCTCAGGCACCAGCAGACGGGACCTGACATCCTTCAACATGGAGCTGTCATCCAGCGGCATCAGCGCAGACCTCAGCAAGGTAAATGTGAGCTGTGGTATGCCACCGAGATTCAGCTGGCTCAGGAGGATTTGGCCCATTCACCTCCTTTCCTGGACAGGGCCATGGTGTCGTGGGGGCAGTTGGAGCCAAGGACTGGGCCGGGGGCTTTCTGGACCTGAAGGAAGACCTTCAGGATGCCATGTTTGTTGGGAATGAACCCCTGACACAAGAAGCAAAAGAGGGTTATTTGGGTGAGTACTTTTTTGTGTGTTTGTTTTTTGGGGTTTTTTTTTTTTTTGCTGTGTTTTGGTTGGAGGAGCCAGAGTATTGCTCCAATTGGCTTTTAAAATAATGATGCAGCCTGGGAATGTGGCTTAGTAGTAGAGAGCCTGCAAGAAGTCCTGGGTTTGATTCCTCAGTATCACATAACAGAAAAAGACAGAAGTCGTGCTGTGGCTCAAGTAGTAGAGTGCTAGTCTTGAGAACAGAGAGGCTCAGGAACAGTGCCCAGGCCCTGAGTTCAAGTCCCATGACTGGCAAAAGCAATTAATTAATTAATGATGAAAGGCAGGTGATGGTGGCTCATGCTTGTAATCCTAGCTACGGGGGATGCTGAGATCTGAGGATCACGGAAGTCTGTGAGTGGTAGCCTACCTCCTGCCTGGAAAACACAGGAAACCAGTTCAAGCCCTAGTACACCACCTCCCACCCCCTAGAACGAAGTTATTTTGAGCCGAGTATGGTGGCACAAGCCTGTGATCCCAGCACTCAGGAGGATGGGGCAAGAGGATTGTGAGTTAGAAATCGGCCTAGGCTATATATATTGTGAAGCCATTTTGCAAATAAAAACAAAACGAAGTGGTTCTCTTGATGTTGAGCATAGAGGAAATTGGTATGGTGATTGCTATTGCATCTTTCTGCCACATGATGGTACTGTTGAAGGTTACTTGGAAATAAGAGTCTCATTCCTTCCCAGGCTGGCTTCAAACCTCAGTCCTCAGATCTCAGCCTTCTGAGTAGCTAGGATCACAGGTATGAGCCAATGGTGCCTGGCTTTTTCTCTTTTTTTAAACAGCGTATGGATGTGTGTCCTAGGCTGGCTTCAAATTTGAGATCTTCTTCTTTTTTTTTTTGTTGGTCATGGGGTTTGCGTTGTACCACTTGAACCACAGAACCACTTCTGGTTTTCTGAGTGGTTTATTGGAGATAAGAGTCTCACAAACTTTCCTGCCTGGGCTGGCTTTGAACCACGATCCTCAGATCTCAGCCTCCTGAGTTGCTAGGATTATAGGTGTGAGCCACTGGTGCCCAGCAGATTTGAGATCTTCTATCTCAGTCTTCTGAATCCCAAGATTATTGGCATGTGCTGCCACCACACTTCGCTCCTGATTTATTTTTAATATTCACATCAGTTTCATGTTCTTCCTAATATGTCAAATCCATTTTATTATTAATTAATTTAAGTATTTGTACAAAGAGTTTCAGTTTCACAAGTCAGATTATGAGTATAACGCTCCTTGGGTTTTTTTTTTTTTTTAACCAATCCTAGGGCTTGAATTCAGGGCTTGCGCTCTGTCCCTGAGCCTCTCTGTGCTCAAGGCTAGTGCTGTACCAATTGAGCCATACTGCCACTTCCAGCTTTTTCTGAGTAGTTTATTGGAGATAAGAGACTCATGGCCTTACCTGCCCGGGATGGCTTTGAACTGTGATCCTCAGATCTCAGTCTCTGGAGTAGCTAGCCACAGGTGCCTGGTGTAAATGCATCTTGATCAATACCACCCTTCCCACTGTTCTCCCACATCTCATTTAATTTATTTTTATTTATTTATTTATTTATGTCGGTCTTGGGGCCTGAACTCTGCGTGGGCGCTGTCCCTCAGCTCTTCAGCTCAAGGCTAGCACTCTACTACTTGAGCCACAGCACCACTTACGGCTTTTTCTGCTTATGTGGTGCTGAGGAATTAAACCGAGGGCCTCATGCATGCAAGGCAAGCACTCTACCACTGAGCCACCTTCCCAGCCCCTTCATTATTTTTTTTAAGTCCATGCTATCTCCCTTACCAGCCCTCAGGTGAACTGTGCCTTGTTCCTTTGGTTCACAGTTTGGGTGCAGCATTGGGCCATGAGGTTAGGACCTCAGCTGCTGAGAACATGTGACTTTCTCAGGAGACCTGCTGGCTGTTTCCAGGCATCTTGATTATGAGTTTGATTTCTTAGACCTTTTACTTCTGCATGCTAACTTCTGTCAGATCCTTTGCATTTCTAAGGTGCTCTGTCTGTCTGTCTGTCTCTCTCTCTCTTTCTCTCTCCTCTCTCTCAGGCTACACAGTGACCTGGCTGCCTTCCCGAGGACCCACATCGCTGCTGGCAGCCGGAGCCCCCCGTTACCAGCACGTGGGTCAGGTGCTGGTGTTCCAAGAGCCAAAAGATGGGCAACACTGGATCCAGGTCCAGAAAATAAGCGGAACCCAGGTAAGCACAGCCCAAGGGCCATCTGCCGGTTAAGGCAGGTGTAACACAGGGGCATTCCCCATTTCCTTCAAACTCCTGTCCCCTTTCTGCATGTCAGTCCTGTCACAGGTGCTGCTCACAGAACCCTCTGTAAACCTGGTCATCCCACACTCCCTCTTAAGAAGCTGGACCTCCAAGAGCCTAACTTGTTTTACTTCCCATAGGCTTTCAGGGTAGACCCAGGACTTGAACCTGCCTCTGAACGATGAGAAAAATGGACTTGGTGCAGCTGAGGGAGGGGTAGGAGGCAATCTGCCAACTCCCTTCCTGTGGGTTCTTCCACAGCCATCTTCCTCTCCCTACAGATTGGCTCTTATTTTGGTGGGGAGCTGTGTAGCATTGACATGGACCAAGATGGAGAGGCAGAGCTGCTGCTGATCGGAGCCCCCTTCTTCTATGGGGAGCAAAGAGGAGGCCGAGTGTTCATCTACCAGAGACAACAGGTGGGAACCAGGACCTTGGGAGAGGCAGAAAGATGCACCGGCCTCAGTTATTCTGAGGGGCTTTTTCTTGATTATAGGTTAATCGTATAAATGAACAACAGCAAGTCCACCTGAGGGGGATTATATGCATGCCTTCTTCACTAACTAGCTTTTGCAGGGCTGCATTCTAGGGACGTCTGCTGTGACCGAGGTGCAATCTGTCATCTCCTTGCTTCTCCCCAGCTGAAGTTTGAGATGGTCTCAGAACTGCAGGGAGATCCTGGCCACCCCCTTGGGCGCTTTGGAGCCACCATCAGTGTCCTGACAGACATCAACGGGGATGGACTGATGGATGTAGCCGTGGGAGCTCCGCTGGAGGCACAGGGGACTGTGTACATCTTCAATGGGCAGCATGGTGGGCTCAGCCCCTATCCAAGTCAGGTAAGTTGCCCCAGCCACCCATGAAACCTGCAAGCTCCAAGCCCAGCCCCCATCCCAGGCCTGACTTCTGCCTCCACCTTGTCCTCTCCCAGCTCAGCATGAATTTCTCTCTTGCTCCCAGCGAATAAAAGGGTCCCAAATACTGCCAGGAATTCAGTGGTTTGGACGCTCCATCCATGGGGTGAAGGATCTTGGAGGGGATGGCCTGGCAGATGTGGCTGTAGGGGCAAAGGGCCAGGTGTTTTTGCTGAGGTAAGATTCCCTCCATCCACCCCCCCCCCCACCCAAGCCCCTGATAATCTCAGCTTTCAGCCTTTGAGTAGGGACCTGGGCACTGTGCTAGATGCTTTTTATTTATTTAGCCAGTTCTGGGACTTGAACTCGGTGCTGTCTCTGAGCTTTTGTGATCAAGGCTAGTGCTCTACCACTTTGAGCCACAGCTCCATTTCTGACTTTTCAGTTGTTAATTGGAGATAAGAGTCTCACAGGTTTTTCTTGCCCAGGCAGGCTGATACTTTCTCATCACCTGCTGTGCCTTTTGCTTTTTTCTGGAGATACTGGAGTTTGAACTCAGGGCCTTGCATTTATCTGGCTCTACCACTTGAGCAATGTCCCTCATCTCTTTTTTTTTTTTTCTCTTAATTTTCTAATAGGGTCTCATATTTTTTTCAAGGAGGATAGGAAATAAGACTAGAGAGACAGGGCTGGGAAGGTGGCTCAGTGGTAGAGCGCTTGCCTTGCATGCCTGAGGCCCTGGGTTCGATTCCCAGCACCACATAAGCAAAAAGAAAAAAGCCAGAAGTGGCGCTATGGCTCAAGTGGTAGAGCGCTAGCCTTGAGCTGAAGAGCTGAGGGACAGTGCTCAGGCCCAGAGTTCAGGCCCCACGACCGGACCCAAAAAAAAAAAAAAAAAGACTAGAGAGACAGACAGTATGGTGTAGGTAACAAATAGGCTGGGGCTGGGAAGGTGGCTCAGTGGTAGAGTGCTTGCTTTGCATGCATGAGGCCCTGGGTTCAATTCCTCAGCACCACATAAGCAAAAAGAAAAAAGCCGGAAGTGGCACTGTGGCTCAAGTGGTAGAGCGCTAGCCTTGAGCTGAAGAGCTGAGGGACAGCGCCCAGGCCCAGAGTTTAGGCCCCACAACTGGACCCCCCCCCAAAAAAAAAAAATAGGCTGAATTTTATTCTAAACATCCTGTAGCCTTATTAGATGACTATATACATGAAGCCCCTCATAAGATCCCTGTTTACTATTAGCTTTGTGTGTGTGTGTGTGTGTGTGTGTGTGTGTGTGTGTGTGTGTGTGTGTGTTGGTCCTGGGGGCTTAAACTCGGGTTCTGGACACTGTCCCTGAGATTCTTTTTTGTCAAGGCTAGAACTCTACCACTTGAGCCACCACAATACTTCTGGCTTTTTTTTTTTTTTTTTTTTTGAGATTCTTTTTTTTGCTAGTCATGGGGCCTGAACTCTGGGCCTGGGCGCTGTCCCTCAGCTCTTCAGCTCAAGGCTAGTGCTATACCACTGGAGCCACAGCGCCACTTCTGGCTTTTTCTGCTTATGTGGTGCTGAGGAATCGAACCCAGGGCCTCGTGCATGCAAGGCAAGCACTCTACCGCTGAGCCACCTTCCCAGCCCACTTCTGGCTTTTTCTGAGTAGTTTATTTGAAATAAGTATCTCACAGACTTTCCTGCCTGGGCTGGCTTTGAACCACAGTCATCAGCTCTCAGCCCCCTGAGTGGCTAAGATTACAAGCATGAGCCACCAGTGCCCGTCTATTATTAACTTTTAAAATTTTACAGTGCTGGGGATCAAAACCCAGGGCCTCATGCATTCTTGACAAGGACAGAAGCAGCTTCAGTCCTAACCCCTATGGTTTCTCTTTTTATAAACTTTTTTTTTTTTTGGTCAGTCGTGGGGCTTGAACTCTGGGCTTGAGCCCTGTCCCTGCACTCTTCAGCTCAAGACGAGTGCTCTACCGCTTGAGCCACAGCATCACTTCCGGCTTTTTAGTGGTTTATTGGAGATAAGAGTCTCACAGACTTTCCTGCCCGGGCTGGCTTTGAACCTCGATCCTCAGCTCTCAGCCTCTGGAGTAACTAGGATTACAGGCGTGAGCCACCAGCACCCAGCTTTCTTTTTATAAACTTTTAATTTGGAGGGGCAATACTTAGGTTTGAAATCTGAGCAGATGTTCTACCATTTGAGACATGCCTCCAAACCTTCTTTGCTTCTGATAGTCTTGCACTTTTGCCTGGGCCGGCCTTAGACCACAATCCTCCTCTACCTGCATAGGTAGGATGATAGTTACATGCCACCACATCTAACATATTGCTTGAGATGGGAGGGTGCGTCTTGCAAACTTCTTGCCTGGGCTGGCCTCGAACTATACCCCTCTCATTCTGTCTTGAAGTAGCAGACATGGGCTAGCAGGCATGAGCCACTGCATCTGGCCAAATAAAACAAAAACAAAACACTTTTTTTTTATGGCCAAGGGTTCACAAGGCTGCTAGTAGTACAGCAGGGAGCGCTGCTGGACTGTCTCCATAGTTGTTGTGGGTGAAAGGAGACAGCGGAGTGGAGGTCAGCTTTCAGAAAGGAGAGGCCTTTGGACTCTGCAGGATGGAGCCCAGGGCTGAATATATAATTGAGACCAAGGGAAAGACATGGCATTTTCCTGCCCTGCAGCTCCCGGCCCGTGGTGGACATCGTCACTGAGATGGCCTTCTTCCCAGCCGAGGTCCCGGTGCACGAGGTGGAGTGTTCCCACCTGGACAGTCCCAAGAAGAAGGAAGGCGTTAATCTCACAGTCTGCTTCCAGATGAAACTTCTCATGCCCCAGTTCCAAGGTCAGGGCTGTCCTCCTGCTCCCCATAGCCACTGCCCACCCCGAGCCCGGCCTGTGTTCCCAGAACTCCCTCACCATCCACGTCTCGTACTTTTCACCAACCCAGGTCGCCTGCTTGCCAATCTCACCTACACCTTGCAGCTGGATGGACAGCGGACCAGGAGCCGGGGGATGTTTCCTGGAGGCGGAAACCATCTCAGCGGGAACACAGCTGTCACCCCAACCAAGTCCTGCCAGAAATTCTGGTTTTACTTCCCAGTAAGGAAGCTAGTGCTGGGGTTCTGGGAAAGTCTGGGTGCCAGCCACAAGCAGTGCAGGGCTCAGCTCTGTCACTGTCCAGCTGGGTGGCAGGCCTCGTTGATCTCTCTGCATTTGCTATTTCCTCTGCTGTGCAATCATAGGGACAACATCTCAAGTGTCTTTTATTCTAGGCTTTACTGTATTCACTTAAGCATTTGGGGGGAGGGCGCCCATGTGCGCATGTGTGCATGTGTGTACATGCATGCTGGTTCAGGGCTTAAACTCAGGGTGCTGTCCCTAAGCTTTTTTTTTTCCCCTCAAGGCTATCACTCTATCACTTGAGCCATAATTCTACTTCTGGCATTTTTGGTAGTTAATTGGAAATAAGAGCCTCATGGGCTTTCCTGCCCCAGCTGGCTTCAAACCATGATTTCCACATCTCAGCCTCCTGAGTAGCTAGGATTACAGGTATGAGCCATTGGCACTTGGCTTGAAGCTTTTTAATACTGGGGCCAGAGTTTGTACTCAGGACCTCACATTTGCTAAATAGATACTCTACTACTTGAATCACACTCCCCTCTCTCCACCCCCAAGGAAGTAGTATTTTAGGATAGAAAACTAGGTTAGGTTAGTCTAGTTTTTTGGAACATTATTTTGCAAACTTTGATGATGTCTGCTTAGAACAGTTTGGCAAAGATTGAGGGTTCTCATTAGGACTAAATGAGAAATAGTGCTGGGATTGACTAATGATGTCTGCCATGGAGCTGTAGATGAAGAACAGAAGTTTATGCTTTGAAGTATCACAGGTACAGTATAAACACATGATATGTTGTAAATGGCAAGTAGTGAAAAAACATTTACTACTGATAAAGCCTTAGCCAAGTACTAGAATTTCATTGTTGGTAAAATGCAGACAAGGCAGACACTCAGCTGGAACTATGATGAAGGCTAGACATGATATAGATTGTATTCTTCTCATCCTCAGGTCTGCATTCAAGATCTCATCTCCCCCATCAATGTCTCTCTGAATTTCTCTCTGTTGGAGGACGAAGGGACACCAGGGAGCCCAAGGATGGTAAGAAGAGATTGGCTGAAGACTTGCGGGACAGTAGAGGGAAGTAGAAATTTCATTTGTGGAGAAGTGATACATGAGTCTTTGGCTATAAGCAACAGAAACTAAATATGGCTTACATAAGCAGGGGGAAAAAAAGATTTGTAAAAATTCGCATTTAAAAGAAATTTGAGCTGGGCCCTGGTGGCACACTCCTCAAGCCTTGTTCTCAGGAGGCAGTGATCTGAGGCTCAAAGTTTGAATCCAGATCTGGCAGAAAAGTGAGGTTTATCTCCAATTAATCAACAAAAAGCCAGAAGTAGCTTATGTGGTAGAGCATCAGCATTAAGTAAAAAAGCTAAGCAAGAGCAGAAGACCCTGAGTTCAAGTCCCAGTACCAGCACCAGAAGTAAACAAGTAAATAAATACAGTTTGAAGAAGCAAACAACTTTTGGAAGAAAGGGAATAGTTGATGATGGTCAGTTCTCCAGGCCCTTCAGTGAACCTACTCCAGATCCTCGACCCGCTGCAGCCCCCAAGAGTGCCTTGTTTCTCAACATGTAAATTCCAGAGAACTTTAGAGAGGGTCTAGCTCTGGGCTCGTCCTTTATTGGTGGAAGACAGGGCATCTTGATTAGCCTCCTTGCCCCTGTGTATTCAGCGTGGGTGAGCTGTCACGGTGAGGAGGGGCAGGGCTGACAGAGCCCTGCCTGTGTTAAGGCACTGGCTTCCCTGAGCCAGTTCATAAAAAGTGCCTTTTAAAAGTCTGCCTTGCCAGGTGCTGGTGGCTCACGCCTGGAATCCTAGTTCCTCAGAAAGCTCAGATCTGAGAATCCCAGTTCAAAGCCAGTCCATAAAATCTTATCTCCAATTAACTAGCAAAAAGCCAACCGTGGAGCTATGCCTCAACCTTGAGCGGAAAAGCTAAGTGGGAATGCAAGATTCCAAGTTCAAGCCCTAGTACCAGCACGAACAATAATAAAATACTAAAGAAATAAAAAACTGTCTTTTCTATAAAAGGCAGGGATAGGCAGGTGTGGCAGTTCTATGCCCCAAGTCAGGGTTGGCAGACTTTATCTGGAAAGAGCTTTATAATACCTGCTATTGGCTCTGCAGGCCACGTGGTTTCTGTTGCAACCAATCAGCTTTGCTTCTGCAACATCAGAGTCACACCACAGGAAGACCAGAGGGTGTGGCTGAGTCCCAGTAACCCTGTATTTACTAAACAGGTGGGGGCCTAGTGAAGTCTTCCTACCTAGATTGCTTACCCTGCTCTAAACCAGAAGCCTTGGATTCAGTGCTTCTCCACCTGTCTGGGCCTCCTGCTGCTCAGGCTCTGGCCATCAGGTGTGCACTGGAGGGCAGAAGAAGAGAAGTATTTCCTAAACACCCTGCCTTAACACTTTCACTGAATCTCATTGGTCAGAACTTAGCCCCATGATCATTCCCAGCTACCTTAGAGGCTCTCTGGTTGAGGCTGACTGTGCAGATATTCTACTAGACAAAAAGTAGAGGTTCTGTTTGAAAGAGCTGACAACGAAGGTGTAGGGAATCACCGGTCCTGCCACGGGCAGTAAGACAAGGCCAAACTACGCAATGTGGAAGCTGAGGGAAAATACACTTGTGATCACTGTGAAAGCCAAAAAGACTTCCCGGGGGAAGTGGCATTGGTTCTGGCTCTTGGAGAAGGGATAGACTTTGGTTAGATAGTGAAGCGGGGTAAGGTCAAGGGAAATGGTCAGGTGGATCTCACTTCTGGCAGAAAGATGGCTGAGCAAGTTGAAGGCCCCTTGTTCCTGGGGTGATGGGACATTGAGTGTCCGTGTTGAGAATGGTAGGGAGGAGTCAGCAGAGATCACCAGGACTTCAGCGGGTCAACAAGGCTCTGGAGACTGCCTGGCAAGTCACCTGAAGGTAGAGGAGGCTGGATTCTTTTGAGAATATACCAACTGGTAACTCATAACATCCTTCTAGGGTCTTATTACCCCTAGAATTAAAGGCCTTTCCCATGAGAGGGAGTGAGGTGTCCCAAGTCCCTGTCTCCCACTGGCAGTACCGCCAGAGGGGAGCTGCAGAGCCTAGGCACAGGGCCAGCCCTGTGGAGGTACTGGCTCTTGGTAGAAAGGCCACAGCCATTCCAGCTGCCCACTTCCTCTTCCTGAGGCTCACTAAACCAGCAGAGCTCCTGTCTCCACTCCTTATTCAGATCAAAGACATGCAGCCCATCCTGAGACCCTTGCCACATTCAGAGGTCCTGGAGGTAAGGGGGAGGGAGGGCATTTGGGGATTTAGCTCAGTGGAAGAGCAATTGCCTGGCAAGTCCAAGGCCCTGAGTTTGTTCCTGAGCTCTGGGGGGGGGGGAGGGGGGGGGTGGGGGTGGAAGGAGGGAGGAGGCAAGAGGGAGGAAGGGCAGATGCAGGCTCAGCCCAGCTTGGCCCCCGCTGGTCTGGAGCCTGAGTCTCCCATCATGTCTTCTTGACTTTCAGATCCCTTTTGAGAAGAACTGTGGGGAGGATAAGAAGTGTGAAGCGAATTTGGCGCTGTCCTTGCCCGCTAGGTCTGTAGAGCATCTACCTCTCTGTTAGGCTCTGGTCTCCTGAGGATGCCAAAAACACTTTGGATTAGAGTTCTCTCTTCCTTCTCTCTAACCCCTGAATATGTCAGCAGGGGATGTCACCTCTTCTCGGGGCCTCAGTTTCCCCTCTCTGAAAAGCACCAATCTCAGGCCAGGCAATGTAGTGCACATGCCTGCTACATGGGAGTCATGGGTAGGAGGACTGCAGTGTATGTAGGCTGACCTGGGCAAAAAATGGAAGTCCCTGTCTGAAAAAAGTAACTATAGCAAAAAGGAGATGGAGGTCTAGCTCAAGTGGTAAAGCGCCTGCCTAGCAAGCACAAAGCTCTGAGCTCAAACCTCAATATCACACACACATACACATACACAACCACACACACAGAGGAATAAATTCAGCCAGGCACTGGTGGCTCACGTCTGTAATCCTAGCTACTCAGGAGGATTGCAGTCATAGCCAGTCCAGGCAGGAAAGTCCATGAGACTTTTATCTCCAATGAACTACACAGAAAAAGCCAGAAGTGGTACTGTGACTGAAGTGGTAGAGTGCTTGCCTCGAGCACAGAGAAGCTCAGAGACAGTGCCCAGGCCCAGAGACAGGCCCAGATAGTGCCCTGAATTCGAGCCCCAGCCCTGGCAAAACCAACAAACTGCAAAGGAACAAATTTGTGTCCTTATGATGATACGTGTACACAGGAGCTTGTTTCTCGTAACCTATCAGATCCCTTGGTTCTGAAGCGCTCACTTCAGTCCTGCTTGCTTCCTCTTGCCTCTGCAGATCCATATTCCTGCCTCTGACACCCTCCGCCAGCCTGGCTGTGGAATGGCTGCTGAGTAACCAGGGAGAAGATGCCTATTGGGTCCAGCTGGTCCTGGAGTTCCCAAGTGGCCTCTCCTTCCGCAAGGCAGAAGCGCTGAAGGTGAGCTAGACCGCCGCTGGCGCTGCGATTCCTACAGGGGCCCTGGCTGCCTCCTTGGACCTCAGGCAGCCAGGACGGTGTTGGGAATGCAGAATCTGAGGGCCACTCCCTTAAGTTCCCAGAACCTCCTTAAGTTCTGTGAACTGAGGCACACAGTTTACCTTCTTAGATCCACAACTTTTTTTAAAAAGCGGGGACACCCACAATTTAGTGAGTGTCTTAGGAAAGGGGCGTGTGGAAGAGGGGCAAGGGTAGTGTGCAGTATACACAACGACCTGGTCTCACTCCCTCAGAGAGGGGCCAGTGTCTGTGAGCTGTGTGTCAAACTTTTATTTTAAAATTAGTATGATTTTTTTCTTAAAAAATAACAAGATGGTCATGGCTACGCAATAGTGGCTCACACCTGTAATCCTAGCTACACGGGAAACTGAGATCTAAGAATCTACCTTCAAAGCCAGCTTGAGCAGAAAAGTTCATGAGACTCTTATTTCCAATGAACTAGCAAAAATCTGAAAGTGGAGGTATGGCTCAAGTGGTAGAGCACCATCCTTGAGCAAAAAGCTAAGAGAGAGGTCTGGGAGGGTGGCTCAGTGGTAGAGTGCTCGCCTTGCATGCATGAGGCCCTGGGTTCAATTCCTCAGCACCACATTAGCAGAAAAAGCCAGAAGCGGCGCTGTGGCTCAAGTGGTAGAGTGCTATCCTTGAGCTGAAGAGCTGAGGGACAGTGCCCAGGCCCAGAGTTCAGGCCCCACAGCTGACAAAAAAAAAAAAAAAAAGCTAAGAGAGAGCATGCAGGCCCTGAGTTCAAGCCCCACTTCTGGCACACACATACACACAAAAAAGACATTTATTTAGTTGTTTATTTATTCACTATTTTTTTGTGTGTAGGCTAGGAGTCAAACCTAGGGTATTGTACATATTGGGCAATCTAAACCCATAGCCCAGAAATTACTGCTTTCAATCTTTTGGTGTTTTTCCTTCTTACTTTTTTTGGGGGGGTAGGGGTCCATTATGAGGCCTGAACTCTGAGCCTGGGCTCTGTCCCTCAGCTCAGCTCAAGGCTAGAGCTCTACCACTTGAGCTACAGAGCCACTTCCAGCTTTTTCTGCTTATATGGTGCTGAGGAATTGAACCCAGCAAGCACTCTACCACTGAGCCACCCTCTCAGCCCCCTTCTTACTTTTCTGTATATAGTTTCATATAGTTACACACACACACACACACACACACACACACACACACATTTCAGTTGTGTGACTCATTTAGCAGCGTACTTACCTAGCAAGCAGAAGGCCCTGAATTCAAACTTCTGTTGTGCTGGCACTGATAGCTCACACGTGTAATCCTAGCAACTCAGGAGGCTGAGATCTGAGGATCATAATTCAAAGTCAGTCTGGGCAGGGAAGTCTGTGAGACTGTATCTCCAGTTATTCACCAAAAAAAAGCCAGAAGTGGAGCTACACCTCAACTAATAGAGCTAACTTTGGGCAAAAAAGCTCAGGGACAGAACTCAGATCCTGAGTTGTGATAAATGTTTATATAAATGTTACCATTTAAAGCTTTCCTAAGCCTGTAGCTCATTGGCATTGAGTATACATACCCACATGGTTGTACAGCTATTCGCAGAACTTTTATATCACCTCAAATTCTTTTTTTTTTTTTGTCAGTCATGGGGCTTGAACTCTGGGCCTGGGCGCTGTCCCTGCGCTCTTCAGCTCAAGGCGAGCGCTCTACCACTTGAGCCACAGCGCCACTTCCAGCTTTTTCTGTGTATATGGTACTGAGGAGTTGAACCCAGGGCTTCATGCATGTTAGGCAAGCGCTCTATCACGAAGCCACATTCCCAGCCCTATTTCGTTTTTTTAGACAGAGTTTCTCTGTATTGCCCAGGCTGCCCTCAAATTCCTAGACTCCAGTGAACCCTCCTGCCTTTGCCTCTCAAGTAGCCAGGACTGTAGATGTGTACCACAATGCCCTGCTGTGCGCCTGATTGATTTGCTTCTCTGAGAACATTCCGTGGGCTGGGCGCCGGTGGCTCACGCCTGTAACCTAACAACTCAGGAGGCTGAGATCTGAGGATCACGGTTGAAAGCCAGCCCAGGCAGGAAAAGTCCATGAGAATCTTATCTCCGATAAACTACTCAGAAAACTAGAAGTGGCGCTGTGTCTCAAGGGGTAGAGCACTAGCCTTGAGCTGAGGGACAGCGCCCAGGCTTAGAGTTCAAGCCCCATGACCGACAGGAGGGCTCGTGGCCTCTTGGGAACCCTGAGCCCCATCCACTGACAAATCTCTGTTCTTTTGCTTCCAGCCACACAGCCAGGTACCTGTGAGCTGTGAGGAGGGTCCTGAGGAAGGCAGGCTCCTGACCAGGGCGCTCTCATGCAACGTGAGCTCTCCCATCTTCAAAGCAGGCAGCTCGGTAAGTGCCACCCATCCCTCCTCCGAGCCCCCGGCCACAGCCAGTGGAGGGGAGGGAGTTCTTGGCTCCCAGGAGGGAGAAGGTGGTTCACCAGGAAGGGACCTCCCTACCTCACTGGGGCCTCAGACAAATCTGGGACTGGGTCATTCATTCACACATGGCCTGACTCTCTGCGGCCTCACTTTTCCTTATCTATACAATGGAGCCCAGTGTTGAATCTGTGGTGAGCACTTGCTCTGTGTTCACTGCTAATCTAGTGCCTGGGCTGGGGCTGTGAGGTCCCCTCGCGCCTCCCCCTGAAAACCCATGTCTTCCCTCTCCTGTCCTGCCAGGTTGGTGTCCAAGTGATGTTTAACACCCTGATGAACAGCTCCTGGGGGGACTTCGTTGAGCTACGTGGCACTGCGCATTGGTGAGCAGCCCCTACATCCCTGCACTGGCTTTTACCCCCTCCCAGCCTGGCCACACCCCTTTAATGCTGCCCTCCACCTGCCCCACACAGCCGGAATGAGGACGCAGGTCTCCTGGAGGACAACTCGGCCACCACCCACATCCCTGTCCTGTACCCCATCAACATCCTCGTTGAAGAGTGAGTCTGAGCCTCGTCCACCTCTTCTCCCAGTCAGTCTCCACCGCCAGGGCCCAGCCTCACCACCCAGGGTTCCCCTCCCAGCCCTGTGCCTTTGTTAAAGCTTGGGTGGGTAGGCAGAGAGAACTGATCCCAACCACAGCCCCCAAAGTCTTCAGTGCTGCAAAGATGGAGGCCCTCTAAGAGCTCTGAGTCAGTAACATTCACCCGGGAAAGGAAAAGCCATGTCAGATGTGCACACTGGCTGGCTGCTGGCTGTCCCTGGGGCTTTCCACTCCTCTGAGCAGCTGCATCTTTCCTCATCCTCCTAATGAACACGCGCTCAGAGAAGGCACGTGCTTGCCCAAGGGCGCATGGCTTGGAACCACTGAAGTCTGCATTTAAGGCTGACCCCAGAGCTGTGAGCCAAGCTCCTGACTGCTTCCAGCTGCTCTGCATTCTCGCTAGGGGCCAGCAGTGCGAGGGAGGCCTGAGAAAGGTTTCCACAGTGGCATCTTGCCCTCTGGGAGCCTGTGGTTCAGTCAGACAGCCCAAATGCAGAAGCGATGAATCTTCGCAGGCTGTAACAGGAAGGACTCCTGGGGGTGGCTAGTGGGATGTTCTGGTTCATAGAAAAGGAAAACTAGGAAGGTAGAATGTTGGGTTTTGTTTTTTCAAGTTGGCTCAGTGAGGTGAGGACAGAGACAGTGTCTGAGCAGTGTCTGAGCTCGGCTCTCCAGTGCTTCTGAACTCAAGTGCCAAGTGGAATGATACTGATAGAAAAATTAGAGCCTGGCTGGGAAGGTGGCTCAGTGGTAGAGCGCTTGCCTTGCATGCCTGAGGCCCTGGGTTCGATTCCTTAGCACCACATAAGCAAAAAGAAAAAAGCCGGAAGTGGCGCTGTGGCTCAAGTGGTAGAGCGCTAGCCTTGAGCTGAAGAGCTGAGGGACAGCGCCCAGGCCCAGAGTTCAGGCCCCACGACCGGACCCCAAAAAAAAAAAGAAAAGAAAAATTAGAGCCTGAGCTAGGCGCTGGTGCCTCGTGCCTCTAATCCTAGCTACTTAGGAGGCTGAAGTCTGAGGATGGTGGTTCGAAGCCAGCCCAGGCAGGAAAGTCCATGAGACTCTTATCACCAATTAACTACCAGAAAACTTGAAGTAGAGCTGTGGCTCAAAGTTGTAGATTGCTAGCCTTGAGCAAAAAGAGCACTGGTGGCTGATGCCTGTAATCCTAGCTACTCAGGAGGCTGAGATCTGAGGATCGAGGTTCAAAGCCAGCCCGGACAGGAAAGTCCATGAGACTCTTATCTCCAATAAAAACCACTAGAAAACCGGAAGTGGCACAATCGGTAGAGCACTCGCCTTGAGCTGTAGAGCTCAGGGACAGCACCCAGCCCCTGAGTTCAAGCCCTATGACCAATAAAAATAAAAAATAGAAAATTAGATCCTGGCAGGTCAGGGCAGGTGAGAAGAGATGCAAGTTTCGTGGAGAAGGTGGAGCTCGGCCTGCGGTCTGAATGATGGGGACAGGAAGCAAGGTGCAGGGGGGGGGAGGGAGCATGTGGGCTCCACTGAGGGCGGAGGTAGACAAGCGGTGGGAAGGCAGCCTGCTTGGACCTGGGGCTTGGACCTGATCTGGCAGGAAGCAGGGAGCAAGGTTCTGAGCCAGCAAACAGAAGATGAGAATTGTGTGAGGGAGGTCAGCTGCAAGGATGCTGGGGGAGGGAGGCAGAGATCCACCTGTGGGAGGCGCAGGACCAGAAGATAGTGGAGACACCAGTGAGGTCGCATGCTGTGGGGAGGATGCAGTCCGCAGGCTTGGCCCATCCCCAGGCTTCAGGGCTTCCCCTCTATGGGACTTAGTTCCAGAGGGCTGACATGGTACCTCTGTGGTCCACAGGCCAGAGCTGGCAGCTCCTAGCCTTCCTAGGAGCTCCTAGCTCCTGTTGCCATCTCTCTACTCATGTCTCTGCCCTTCTCTTTCCACAGCCAGGAAAACTCCACACTGTACATCAGCTTCACCCCCAAAGGTCCCAAGATCCACCAAGTACAGCATATCTACCAGGTATGAATTGAGATTTGAACTGAGAGCCTCCCTGCTTGCTAGGCAGGTACTCTACCACTTGAGCCCCGCCCCCCCCAGCCCTAGTACCTAGGTTGTATTTATGTATTTATGTACTTATTTATTTATTGTGCTGGCCCACTGATTGCGGGCTTGAACGCAGGGCCTGGGCGCTGTTCCTGAGAATTTTCATGCTCACAGCTAGTGCTCTACCACTTGAACCAGAGCTTTACTCCTAGCTTTTTGTTTTGTTTGTTTTGGTGATGGCTAATTGAAGAGTCTCATGGACTTTCCTGCCTGAACTGGCTTTGAACCTTGATCCTCAGATCTCAGCCTCCTAAGTAGCTTGGATTTACAAGTATGAGCCAACAGCACCCGGCTGAACGTAGGTTTTTATCCAAACATTTTGAGCTCTTGTTCTATTTCAAGTCCTTTACTAGGTACTGCGTCCCTGAGTGTTCACCAGCCCCCCGGGGTTTGTGTGTGGTGCTTTATAGATGCAGCCCCTACACCACATGATCACCCCTAAATTTTCCACAGCATCCTGTGCAATTCCAGAGGCCAGGCTTTGATGTGCACTCATACGCATGAGAACTTTGTGTTGTGCACTAGTCACCAGATGAAAGGGAAGGCAGCATTTGGCAATCCAAATCTGTGAACTTGACCTCCACATTCATGTTCTGCCTTTTCTCACGAAGTATGGCTAGTGGTCTTGGACAAAACCTGGTGCTGCCCTGGCATCCCCATGTCTTTCCTGCACACCGAACCCCTCCTCATATTGAAAACCCTGACTCCATCTCTCATGGTTAATTTGACCTGATGCTTCTAATGTTAGGCCTTCTTAACTGACTGATACCTTACAATGCTCACAAATGACCCAGAGCTGATGGCTCACACCTGTAATCCTAGCTACTCAGGAGGCTGAGATCTGAGGATTGTGATTCAAAGCCAGTGTGGGCAGGAAAAAGTCCATGAAGTTCTATGTCCACTTAACCACCATAAAACTTAAAAGTGGAGCTGTGGCTTAAAGTGATAGAGCTCTAGCCTTGAGTGAAAAAAGCTCAGGGACAGCGCCCAGGCCCTGAGTTCAAGCCCCATGACCTACAACAACAAAAATGCTTACAAAACCGGTGCCAGTGGCTCACTCCTGTAATCCTAGCTACTCAGGAGGCAGAGATCTGAGGATCACGGTTCAAAGCCAGCCAACAGGGAAAATCCATGAGGCTCTTATCTCCAATAAAATCCACTAGAAAACCAGAAGTGGTTCTGTGGCACAAGTGGTAGAGTGCTCGCCTTGAGCTGAAGAGCGCAAAGACAGCACCCAAGCCCAGAGTTCAAGACCCACAACCAACAACAACAAAAATGCTCACAAATGTGTGTTGGTTAAATAAACAACAAAGCCCTTTAAATTAAATGTATATTTCCCAGCTTGATCTCTCTGATATATGTCTGTGCTATGTTTGCATCACTTTTGAACACATTTTGTACACATTTCTATGTCTCCTAGTCTTGGGTCAGGTAGCTTATTTATAAAAAGTATTTAGGAGCCAGGTGCCTGTGACTCATGCCTATAATCCTAACTACTCAGGAAGTTGAGATCTAAGGATTGAGGTTCAAAGCCAGCCTGGGCAAGAGAGTCCATGAGACTTAAAAAAAAAAAATCTCCATTTCCTGGAATTCATTTGATAAATATTATTTTATAGGATCAGATACACATAGGCATTGTCTTTGTGTTCCTGGGACTCTTACTTCCAATTAACCAGTGAAAAATAAGAAGTAGAGCTATGCCTCTAACCTAGAGCAAAAAAGCTCAGGGACAGTGTCCAGGCCCAGAGTTCAGACCCCAGAACTGGCACACACAAAGAAAAGAAGAAGCCAGGCGCCGATGACTCATGCCTTTAATCCTAGCTACTCAAGAGGCTGAGATTGAGGATCATAGTTCAAAGCCTGCCTGGGCAGGAAAGTCCATGAGACTCTTATCTCCAATAAACTGCCAGAAAACTGGAAGTGGCACTGTGGCTCAAGTGGTAGCCTTGAGCTGAAGAATTGAAGGACAGCACCCAAGTCTAGAGTTCAAGCCCCATGACTGACAAAAGAAGAAGAAGGAGAAGGAGAAGGAGAAGAAGGAGAAGGAGAAGGAGAAGGAAAAGGAGAAGGAGAAGGAGAAGGAGAAAGAGAAGGAGAAGAAGAGGAAAGAAAAAGAAAAAGAAATCCGGAAATGGCTCTTCAGTGCAGTTGCCAAAATAAGTCTTTCCCAACTTCATTGTACTACTAATCTTTGTATCTGTCCCTGTTAAATATTTATGCGTGCATTCATTCAAAAGACTCCTTTTTTGGCTGGAGGTGTATCTCCATGGTAGATCAGATGCTTAGGATGTACAAAGCCTTGGGTTCAATCCCAGTTCCAAACAGAAAGAAAAGTGACCTTTTTTGAGATCTCCTACCTGCTGGGTATGGTGGCAAGCAGGAGGGAGTTGGAGATGACCTCAGAACTATCTGTCCTCAGGAAGCTGCAGACACAGCAGCCCCTGGACTGTCCAGAGGGGTATGGACACAGTGCTGTGGGACCTGGGGGAGAGCGGCCCCATCTTTGGGGCATCAGCCAGACATTTAGAGGCAGAATGGAGACCAGACTTTTCAAGATGGGCGAGGGCTTTCACATGGCAGCCTGTGAGGCTGGAGGCAAGTGTGACACTTTGTGTGCATGGTATCCCTTTACGCCTCAACCACAGAAGATCCCACAGCCCACAGAGTAGGAGGCAGTTGGGATGGTTGGCATTCAAACTCTGCAGTCTCTTGGTGTGTGTGTGTGTGTGTGTGTGTGTGTGTGTGTGTGTGTGTGTGTGTGTGCCAGTCCTGGGGCTTGAACTCAGAGCCTGGGCACTGTTCCTTCGTTTTTTTGCTCAAGGCTGGTGTTCTACCACTTGAGTCACAGCTCCATTTCAGGCTTTTTGATGATTCATTGGAAATAAAGAGTCTCACGGACTTTTCCTGCCTTGGCTGGCTTTGAACTGTAATCCGAAAATCTCAGTCTCTTGAATTGCTAGGATTAAGGTGAGCCACCGGCACCTGAATTAGTCTCTGTCTTCTGTGCCAGGTAAGGATTCAGCCTTTTCTCCACGACCACAGCATGCCCCTCCTGGAAGCCTTGGTGAGGGTGCCACAGCCAGATAGCGATGGGCCCATCACTCACACCTGGAGAGTACAGATGGTGAGCATCAGCCAGAAAAAGGGAGGGGAGACCACCCAGAAGTCGGAGGCTGGTCCAATACAGAGTTGGAGGTAGGGAGGGAATAAGGATGGATGGATCGAATCCCATAGACTCAGTGAAGTCTGAAACCACCGAGGGAGGAAAACTGGGTCATGTGGGTCTTATCTGGAGTGGGAAGAGGCTTTGGGGGCCAACTGGATATCTTCCCACCCCCCAACATTCCTAGGAGCCTCCTGTTACCTGCTTTCCTGAGGACCTGCAAATACCGGTCAATGCAACTGAGGTATGCGTGTATGAGCACTGGGGAGGGGGCAGGGGCAAGGTGGGGGAGGCCCGGGCTCTCTGACTCCTCTGCTCCTGGCTTCAGTCTTGTCTCCCTGGAGCCCAGTTCCGCTGCCCAGTAGCCTTCCGGCAGGAGATCCTTGTGCATGTGATCGGCACCGTGGAGCTGGTGGAGGAGATCGAGGTAGCATCTGCTTGAAGCTGGTAACGGGAAGTGGTTGGGAAGTCACCCCATTTTTCGGTTTTATCTTGATGACAAAACAAAAAATCTCTACATATACACAGATGCAGATGAAAGAGCCATGACTTGTTTGAAATGTGCCAGCTTGGTTTTGATATAGAATCTTGCTACGTAGCCTTGGCTGACTTCACACTTAGAATCCTTCAGTCTTGGGGGCTGGGAAGGTGGCTCTGTGGTAGAGTGCTTGCCTTGCATGCATGAGGCCCTGGGTTCAATTCCTCAGCACCTCATAAGCAAAAGAAAAAAGCCGGGAGTGGTGCTGTGGCTCAAGTGGTAGAGTGCAAGCCTTGAGCTGAAGAGCTGAGGGACTGCGCCCAGGCCCAGAGTTCAGGCCCCATGACTGGACCAAAAAAAAAAAAAAAAGAATCCTTCAATCTTCTTGTGGTGGGATAGCAGGCATGCACTACCATTCTTGGTTAGCTATCATGGATAGCTCCTATGTGTTCTACATGGGAGAACTTCCCCACTGTCGTTAATGGGGAATGGCACATTAGAATACCACAGGAGAGCCGAGTTGGTGTGGGTTGTTCCACTGCGCGTGTGCGCGCACGCACGCACACACACACACACACACACACACACACCGCATCAAGGAGGGCAGAAGTCCACGGGACCCCCTTCTGATACCTTTTCACTCTGCCCACAGGCCTCCTCCATGTTCAGCCTCTGCAGTTCCATCTCCATCTCCTTCAACAGCAGCAAGCATTTCCATCTGTACGGCAGCAAGGCTGCCCAGTCCCAGGTATCCACCGCCTCAAAGCCCGGGACAGGTGGCAGAGTGTCTCAGGACCCCATAGAAAAGCTTGCATGGGGGAGCTCTATGGGAAAAGGAAGGCTGGAACCTCCCCAAGTCAGCACTGTGGGCCACAAGGAAGCTTCTGCCCCATGGGGGCAAACCGCTGGCAAGGCAGCCTATCTGAAGCGCTGTGACTCAGATGTCAGCTAAAGATGAGGGTCCTAGAGAAGCTTAGGGAATAGCCACCAGCCCCGCAGTCAGTGCAGAGAGGGACTGCTCTGTGCAGGCAGCAAGCACAGAGCCCCGGAGTTGGGGGAAAGCAGGAACTTCAGTCTAGCCGGCAGAAGAGTATAAAAAGATAAGCAAAGCCAGACACTGGTTGTTCACACCTGTCATCCTAGCTACTGAGGAGGCTGAGATCTGAGGATCATGGTTCAAAGCCAGCCTGGGCAGGAAAGTCCGTGAGACTCTTACCTCCAATAAACCACCAGAAAGCCGAAAGTGGCGCTGTGGCTCAAGTGGTAGAGCGCTCGCCTTGAGCTGAAGAGCTGAGGGACAGCACCCAGGCCCAGAGTTCAAGCCCCACGACCATTTAAAAAAAAAAAAAAAGATAAGCAGAAAACAGGGAATGTGTGTAGGCACACACACACACACACACACGCACACGCACGCGCACGCACACATGCACGCACGCACGCACACACGCATGCAAGCACAGGCTAGTCTGGAGCTTCCATTCAGCGCCTGGACACTGTCCCTTAGCTTTTTCCACTCAAGGCTAGCATCCTACTACTTGAGACATACCTCCACTTCTAGCTTTTTGCTGGCTAAATGGATATTAGAGTCTCATAGACTTTTCTTCCTGGGCTGGCTTCAAAATCACAATCCACAGAATTTAGCTTCCTGAATAACAATGATAACAGGTAGTGGCCACCAGTGCCAGTAGAACCAGCTCAGCTGTTTATCATGGAGCTATCAGGAAGTCACAAAGTCGTAAGCGACCAGTTGTACCAAGTCGCTGTAATAACCACACTGGGTGACACATTGGTCTAGAGTCCCATAGAGTCTGATGCTATGGCCCAGCCTAGATAGACATCCTGAGGCCTGGGCTGGGGTCTGGGGGTGAAGCCAGGTGCAGGAAGATTTAGGGGTGAGATCGTTCTTCCCTGCACTCTTGAAACTCTCCCCCAGGTCCTCATGAAGGTCGATGTGGTGTACGAGAAGTCAATGCTCCATATCTACGTGCTGAGTGGCACTGGTGGGCTGCTGCTGCTGCTACTCATTTTCCTGGTGCTCTACAAGGTAAGAAATTTCAGGGGGGCTAAATATTGCCAGCACAGCTAGGCTGGGTGGGCACTGGTAGGATGAGCACTGGTGCAGACATGATTAGGCTTGGGAGAGGGAGGGGAAAGAAATGGTGCCTGGTACCAGATGCCAAAATGCAAAGGCAGCAGACGCTATAGATCTGGTCCCTGCGGGGATGAAGGCCACACTACAAAGGGACACAGGTAGGAACAAGCTCAATCAGAGGGTTACCTGTGTGCTCTGGATTCTGCCTGACTCAAGCAGAAAAGGTCATGGGAAGACCTCCTGGGGGAGGAGCTAGCATCTGAAGGAGTAGAAGTTGGAGATGAAGAGGAATGCAGGCCAGACATTCCATGTACCAACCTCAAACTTATCCAGGAGCTGGTGGCTCATGCCTATAACCCTAGCTACTCAGGAGGCTGAGCTCTGAGGATCGTGGTTCCCAGCCAGCCCAGGCAGGAAAGTTCCTGAGAGTCTTATTTCCAGTTAACCAAAAAGCTGGAGGTGGAGCTGTGGGGCCCAAGTGGTTGAGTGTCAAGCCTTGAGTGAAAAAGTTAAGGACAGCACCCAGGCCTCAGTTCAAGCCCCAGCATACACTCACACACTTGTGCATGCACACACACACACACACACACACACACAGAGCTACCTAACAGTAAGGAAAAAAGGGAGAGCTATTTTTTGTTTTGTTTAGCTTTGTTTTGTTTAGTTCTCTAAAACAGGTTGTCACTCAGTTGCACAAACTGGCCTCAAACTCACAATCCTCCTGCCTCTGCCTCTTGTGTGCTGAGATTATAGATCTGAGCCACCACATCTAGCTTGGACAGAGGCTTTGTGTCAGACTCCACACATCAGAGACAGCGATGTACAAGACAGACAGGATTCCCTATTGTGGGCCGGAACACAGGATTATTTGTTTACACCAAGTGTCTTCACTCTCTGCAGAGGAGATTGGACTTTCACTCCCTTCATGTTTGCCCTCCTGCAGGTTGGATTCTTCAAGCGGAACCTGAAGGAGATGATGGAGGCTGATGGAGGCGTCCCAAATGGAATCCCTGCGGAAGGCTCTGGGCCTCTGGTGGAATCTGAGAAAGCCATGGATCTGGACTGTCTAAGGCCCCTCCATGAGGGTGAGGCCCAGGATGGAGATCACAAGGACTGAAGTGGAGACGTGATACACATAGAACCCAGGGCTGGACTGGCTAAACCGGGGGGCTGCTCAGCCTCAGCCTGCACCTCACTATGTGTCCTTCCCCCTTTGCCTCAGTTTCCCTGTCTTGAGCATGGAGCTCATCCCTGCCTGCATCCTCTGCAGGTACATGGTGAGATTCTACGGGGGGGGGGGGGGGGGGGGGGGGGGAAGGGGAGAGAAGGCCAAGAAGGCCACAGTAGTGAGAACTTAGAGTTACCAGGTGGCCCTGGCTTCTGCCAGCCTGGCTTGGTTTTCTCCCTCACAAGGGAACTTGTGATCTAAATTTGGAGAAACTAATGTCACGACCGAAGAGGCTGCAGGCCTTGCAAGTAGAGATGTCTCTGCCTCCATGCCTGGCCTGGAAGCCCCCACTCCCTCATCTGCAGCTGGAGAGCAAATTCAGCCCTGTCACTGTATTGCTGCAGAACCTCTTGACCTATAACCAAAGATTCAATTATCTAATAAGCCTTTAAGGCTGGGAATAATTGGGCCCCATTTCTCCTGGAGAGGTTCCACTTCACCTTTGAGACTCCAGGTACTCCAGCCTTTCTGCAGAGCCATGCTCTTTCCTGCCTGTCTGCATCTGCCCAGATGTTCCCTCTGCCTGGAACCATCCTATTCCAGTACCTGGGCTCACTTCTGCTCAGCCCTCAGATCTCAGCCCACAAGACACTTCCTCAGGGCCACTCCCCCCCCCCCCACCAGCCTAGTTCGGTTCCCTCCTTGTCCACACTGGCACCAGCCCCTCACTTCCCACTCCCAAGTTGTGTTTGATCAGTGTTTAGTGACTGGTTTAACTTCTGTTCTCACGCAGTGCACTCCGGGAGGGTAGTAGTATATACCTGTCTCCCTCCCCTGGGGTTGATATATATACGTGACATAATTTCATTGGATTGAGGGTGGAGCCCCCTGCCTCCCTGCCCATCAAAGCTCAGCCTTCCCAGCCTTTCCCTGGCTCCTTCACAGCGTTCAGAGCCCCCTGGGAGACCCAGCTCAAGGTAGAGACACAGACACCCCAAGCCCAACATCAAGCATAGTGCCTGTACATTCGTATCGGGTAAAGCAGGAGATACTGCCTGGTTTTCTGATGTTTGTGCTTGTGCAGCTCCAGCCAGGCTTAACAAAATAAAATTTCTCTCCCAATACCCCTAAGTGGGACCAAGATAATGACCTCTACTCTTCCTTCTATTTTCCTGCCCCAACCCCATGGTTGACCCTCAGCTATTAACCTATGCCTGACATTGGAGATGAATTCAAGACAGAGAGATACCAAAGAGGAGAAAAGTTAAGAGCCATTTAGCAATTTAAGATGGGAGTATAATGTGCCATGCATAGTAGGACGTAACTGTAATCCCAATACTTGAGAGGCTGAGGCAGGAGGATTGTGAGTTCCAGCCTGAGTTACATAGTGAGACCCTGGCCCCAAAACAACAACAATAAAGGATGCGTACTATAAGGGGCTGAGATATGACGCAGTGATCCTGTTCTTACCTATCAGGCACAGACCCTGGGTTTGATCCTTAGCAGACAGGAAGAGAAAAAAGAGACATCAACCCTCCTCATCTTTTTTCTTTTCTCTTTTCTTTTTTCTTTCCTCTTTCTTTCTTTCTTCCTTTCTTTCTGTGCTGGGGCTTGGGGCTTGAACTCAGGGCCTGGGTACTGTCCTGAGCTCTTTCACTCAATCCTGACACTCATCACTTGAGCCACAGTCCACTTCCAGCTTTTGGTGATTAATTGGGAGTGAATGGACTTTCCTCCCTGGGGTGGCTTTGAACTCTGATCCTCAGATCTTAGCAGCCAAAGTAGCTGGATTACAGGTGTGAGCTGCAGGTGCCTGCCCTCCTCATCATTAAGTAGTACAGAGGGGCTTCAGTTTAACGTGTCATCTTTTATATAAAGCAAGAATGGGCTGGGGGGGAGGCTCAAGTAGAACTTATGCCTAGCAAGTGCAAAGACCCTGAGTTCAGACCCCTGTGTGACCAAAAGGAGGGGGAAAAAATGAATGGAAAGGTGTGGCTCCCTAGTCCCTCCTCCTTTAGAAGGAATAGTGGAGACCAGCCCCTGCTGTCTGTGTGGGACCCCCAGGGAATACTGAGTGACTAAGCGAAGCTCCTTGCCCTGCACTGGGGAAATTGCTGCAATCATATATAAGGCAGGAAGTGAGAGGCAACATTTTGTTCCCCTAGGCATGGTCCTTTGATGGCCTTTCTTGCCCAGAGAGAGGACCCTGCTGAGCCAGCCACGCAAGACCCATGACATCCAAAGCCTGACAGCCTCTCTATCCCCACCAGCCATTCTAGTCCAGACTCAAGACACTATGTGGGGGGCGGGGGGGGGGGGGAGGGCTGGGAAGTTGGCTCAGTGGTAGAGCGCTTGCTTTGCATGCCTGAGGCCCTGGGTTCGATTCCTCAGCACCACATAAGAAAAAAGCCGGAAATGGCGCTGTGGCTCAAGTGGTAGAGCACTAGCCTTGAGCTGAAGAGCTGAGGGACAGCGCCCAGGCCCAGAGTTCAGGCCCCACGACCGGACACCAAAAAAAAAGACACTATGGGGCTGGCTCATAGGCAAGACATCAGGAGGGAAGAAGTGAAGCCACTTTCCCAGAGGGGTGTGTGTTGAGACAGCCCCCTAAGTAACCCAGGATGATCTCAGCTTCCTAATCCTTCTGCTTGAGCCTTTGAATGCTAGGATTACAGGTGTGCACCACTATGCCTCGCTCAAAAAGTGCACCATATCAGGCAGTCAAGCACCCAGGCCCAGAGTTCAGGCCCCACGACCAACAAAAAAAAAAAAAAACTATCTTAAATGTGAAAATCCTGGTTATTTATAATAGAATATCCATACCAAAAACAAAAATCTGCATCAGTCAGGGACAGCAGCACATACCTACTGTTTAATCCTCAGGAAGCTCAGGCAGGAGGATCGCTTGAGCCAAGTTCAGAGCCGGACCAGATAACCCATCAACTCTGCCTGACTCAAAAATTAAAAACAAAAACCTCATGATACTCATAAAGGTCTCTAAAAGACTTAAACAATAGTTGTTTTGTTTTCAAAAATATCTTAAAGTCTGAAAACCAAGCAAATGAATTGAACGTGTTCATTAGGTCTCTCTGGCAGATCCCGGCTAGCTGGGTTGCCTTCTCTCAGAGGTTACTTATTTGCTCATTCCCAGTTACAAGGCCCCGAGGCTGGGTGTGAGCTGGGAGTGCCATCAGGATACAGAGACCCAAGAGACTTACACGGGGCCTATTTGCCAAGCTCTGGGGAGAGGTGGAGCCAGGTAGATGTGACCTCAATGTCACATCTGCCTCTTAGTCACACAGTGACTTTGAGAGTCACTTGGCTCTGTGCCCTTCATTTTCCTTCTCTGTGAAATGAACTGCAGGGGCACCATCAGCCCTTAGGAGATGCCTCAAGCTGTGCCCAACAGCAAATGACACCCAAGTGCCTGTCCTCAGCAAAGGTCAAGAGGCCACACTCCAGAATCCCCCAGAAGCCTCTAGACTCATTGAAGGCACTAATTTCCCCCTGCATTCCCCACAAGAAAAAGTCTGGGTTTTGTGTAGTTTTACAAACTATGGTGGTCCCAAAGGACAGGGCTGTGACAAATCAGGGCCAGCCTGCAGGAAGGTCATGGGGTCTGAAGCAGTGTGTACACCAGGTCAGATACCTGAGGGAAGGTCATGGGGTCTGAAGCAGTGTGCATGGCAGGTCAGATACCTGAGGGAAGGTCATGGGGTCTGAAGCAGTGTGCATGGCAGGTCAGATACCTGCTTTGGGTGGGGTGGACCTGCAGACACCCACTCTGTTGTCAGAGCCTGAAGAAGAGGGCTGCACACGTGGGGCAGCTGGAAAGCAGACTAGACTTGAGCCTGGGAATCGGGAGTGATTTCTGGCCAAAGACAGACCCTCTGTGAAGAGAACAGAGCGCATCACGCTGAGCATTCCCCCGACCTGGTGCCTCTGCAGCTTGTAAATGGGCAATGGCATCTCCTGAACATCAGATGGCATTCGGATGAAACCCCCAACATAAAAGCACTCCCCGGACAAGGCCCCAGGGCCCCCCTGGCTGTCCAGCCCTGACTAGCCTCTCCCACTGCCCAGGGCACTGTGTACACACACATTTGAAGGACAAGTCTCTTTCACCACATAAAAGTTTTTTTTATTGAACTCAAACGCAGGGGCTCCCAAGCCCAAGAAGACAAGGCAGGCTGGGGTTTGGCACTGAGGCCCAGGCCCTGCTCCCCGCCCTACCTACCCTTCTACCCCTTCCTGACGCAACCAGGGTCTCCGCAGCTACCAATCTAAGCTACCCAACTCTAAGGAAGCCTCCCCTCCCCTCCCCCCTCCCCGCCTAGCCTTTGCCGAGCCAGGCGCCCACCGGGGAGTGGCCTGCTGCCCAGCCTGCTCTCCGCTCGCCCTTTCTGGGTCTCTCCCCGGACTTCCTGCTGCCCCCCGTGGGCGCCCTCGACCCTCTCTTCATAGCCCATTTCCCCATTCGTCTCCGGCGCCTGGAACTTCGTGCACGCTGGCCCCTCTGGAGCTAGAAGGTTCCTCCGGCTGGTCCTGGCTGGCCGGGGGCCACGGCTCAGCGGCGGCCGGCCGCGTGGGTCCGCTGGTGGCGGATGAGGTCGGAGCTCTGCGAGAAGGCCTTGCCGCAGTCGTCGCACTTGTAGGGCCGCTCGCCGCTGTGGACGCGGTGGTGCTGCAGCAGCGTGGACGAGCGGCAGAAGCCCTTGCCGCACACGGCGCAGCGGTAGGGCCGCTCGCCCGTGTGCGATCGCTGGTGCTGGATGAGCGTGGACGAGCGGTTGAAGGTCTTGCCACAGTCGGGGCAGCTGTAGGTGCGGCCTGGCAGGTGGGTGCGGGCGTGGATGGCCAGCACCGAGCTCTGGCCGAAGCGCTTGCCGCACTCCGGGCACTTGAAAGGCTTCTCGCGGGCGTGGCTGCGGGCGTGGGGGATGAGCGCCGACCGCTGCGAGAAGCTCTTGCCGCAGATGCCACAGCTGAAGGGCCGCTGCCCGGTGTGCACCCGCTGGTGGCTTCGCAGGGACGAGTTCTGGCTGTAGCACTTGCCGCACTCGGGGCAGCTGTAGGGCCGCTCGTGGCTGTGGGTGCGCTGGTGTCGCAGGAGGTAGGAGCTGTCGCCAAAGGCCTTGCCACAGTGCGGGCACTTGTAGGGCTTCTGGCCAGAGTGGGTGCGCTGGTGTCGCAGCAGGTAAGAGCTGTCGGCGAAGGCCTTGCCGCAGCGGGGACACTTGTAGGGCCGCTCGCCGGTGTGTGTGCGCTGGTGTTTGATGAGGTCGGAGCTCTGGGAGAAGGCCTTGCTGCACACCTCGCACTTGTAAGGCTTCTCCCCCGTGTGGATGCGCTGGTGTTGGATCAGGGTGGAGCCCCGGCCGAAGCTCTTCCCGCAGATACCGCAGATGTTAGGCCGAGGGCCCTGCCCACCCCTGGACCGGCCACCCCGCCGCCCTGGACCCCGGAGGGTCCCTGTCAGACCCAGGGGGTTCTGAAGCATCTCAAACTGGGGCGTCGACAACAGGGTCCCTGTAGGCATCTCAAAAGGTGGCCCTAGGGATAGAGCTCCTGTGGGCTGCTCCCCAAACCCCTGAGTAAAGGAGTCCAGGGGGTGAACTCCTAAGGGGATGCTTAAGGGATTCTTTTCCTCAGGATTCAGAAGTATCTCAGTACCTTCCTGGAATTTAGAACTCTGAGCTTCAAGTTCAGGGTTTTGAATTTTTAACTCAGGAGTCGGAGGTTCATCTCCAGAGTTTTGGGATTCATGTCCCAGCCCCTGAGATTTATACCTGGGGCTTTGAGAACCAAATTCAGGGCTTTGGGACTCATAACCTGGGCTCCTGGGTTCATAGCCTGGGCTCTTGGGATCATAGCCAGGGCTTTGGGGTTCATACCTAGGGCTCTGGGATTCAAACTCTGGACTCTGAGGATCTGATTCAGGGCTTCTGGGTGCAAACTCAGGGCTTGGGGGCACAAACCCAGGGCTTCGGGACTCAAACCCTGGGCTTTCAGGCTCAAACCTGGGGCTTTGGGATTCAATTTCTGGGCTTAGCGGCTCAAACCCAGGGCTTTGGGGTTCAAGGCCAAAAGGTATTTCTTCAACTTCATAGTCCCCATTGCCTTCTTGCTGAGAAATTTCCTCTTCCTCATTCTCACTCGTGTTGCCTGCAGGATCAAAGAATTACACAAAACCCAGAATTTATGGGTGTCCGGAAGATCATTTGATCCATTAGTTGCCACAAACCTCTTCTGGATCCCACCCCCCCCCCCCACACACACACACACAGAGCCATGGGCCCTTGAGCAGGTGCTGAAATCCCCACTTCTCCCCAGATCCAGAACACCCAGCCCTCCTCCCAAATGGCCAAGCCCCCACCCCCACCCCGCCCCTGCTCTCCCACGGACTACAGTCCCTTATCCCGGGCCCAGGTACACTTCCCGGAGGGGCAGTCCCTCACCTTTGAGGGACCCTTCGGGGCTCCCCATTTCGTCAGGACTTTGCACATCCCGAGGCTCGAGGCCCCACGGCGACTCCTCCCGCTCCATCCCAGCCAGCTCCCGGTGCAGCGGCGGTGGCGATGGCGGACGATCCTGCGACCCAGCCGGGGTGCCTTGAGATCGGAGCCCTCGCCACTCGCCCCGCTCGGCGCCGTCCGGGAGACCCGGCTGCCCAGCCCCGGGCCCCCGAGGCCGGACGTCTTGACCCCGGGCCTCTCCGGCCCGCCGGCCCCTCCCCTGCCCGCGGCCCCGCCCCCCTCCCAAGGTCTCGGCTCGCCCTGCGGCCCGCACGGGTCCCCACGCGTCGTGGGCTCGGAGGTGAGGGGCCTCACCACTCGCCCTGGCGCCCTCGGCCACCGCTCCCAGCCCGAGACCCCGCCGTCTCGCCCCTCAACCTCGGGCTGGGCCGCGGCGCTCCGACCCCCTCCCCCTTCACAGGAAGTGTCCGTCCGAGGCCAGGTCCCCCCGCTGGCTCGCGCCGCGGCCTCTCTAGGAGCGGCTGGAGGTGGAAACTCGTTGGCATTAACCCTGGACTGGATGGCCCCGGCGCTGGGGTAGGGGGGGGACCCGGCGCCCCAGAGCAGACGTGGGGGGAAGGGGCCTGGACCAGTCTGCGTGCCTGTGTCCCGGGTCTCCTTCTATGCAAGGGCGCGTCTGCTGACTTCTCGGACCCAGTGTCCGTCTATGCGCGAGGCCAAGGGCGAGGCGACAAGCGAGACCAAGGTCAGCGGGCACGAGCGACGTTTCCCGGCGCCAGTGGGGGCGGCGTCTCCCTCCCCTCCCGCCCTCCCCTCCCGAGCCTGCAGGTCAGCTCCGGCCGCTCCTCGGGAACCTTGGCGGACCCCCTTTGGCCCAATGGAGGCTTTAGGGTCCGGAACCCCGTGGCTGAACTCCCTAACACCTGAGAACCCCGACTCCCGCACCTCCCCTCCCAGCACCTCCCAGACTCCCCCCACCCCGGAGGGCTGGGACCGTTGCCAAGGAGACAGTCCCGCCTCATTTCCAGAGGCCCCGCCCCTACTTGCCAGTGAGATCAGCGATTGGCCAATGGGACTACAGGCCTCTCCTCCACGGACGGCCTGGCGTTAACGGTCGCCAGGGAACGCGAGGCACCTTTCTGATTGGCTGAGGGCGCTCAGGCTGGTTCCACCTCTCCGCGCCTGAAGGGTCTGTGGAAGGGAGGAGGACGGAAGTGACAGGCATCTCTCTGCGAGCTCGGCCGGTGCTCTCAAAACTTTTCCCGCGCCCGCTTGCCCTGCATTATGTATCTCTGAAGAATAAAAGCCAAGGGATCCGAGTGACCCTTCTTCCCCCGCTTCCTCCCCGCACCTCCTCCTTCCAGTGATCGTTCTCTTTTAGCTCGCTTCTCTCTCCTCCGCCCCCCCCCCCCCCAATCTTCCCGAAAGCCTGAGTTTAATTCCATCTCTGGCTCCTGGATTTCCTCGCTGTGAAACAGAATTCACTTGCTGGGGAAGGTAAAAGAAGAGGAGAGCAGAACAGAGAGAAGCATCTGGACCTAAAGGTATCCAGGAACTCTTCTCCCGTCCTGTCTAGCTTGAATGATGGCTTGTAGAGGAAGGGAACCCGAGAACACTGCCCCAGGTGCAGTCTTGAATGACAGAGAAAGTGACCCTCGAAAGACAACTTAATCATCCAATCTTGTTCTTTTCCTATCCTTCATTCCAAAACAAGTTTGGTAGCATTCCTGACCATTAATGAGCCAACTTCTGTGTGTGTGATGTAGCAGCCTTGAATTGTGTGTTTTCTTGTTGCCTAACCAAACAAATGAAGAGAAGCTGGCTGGGAGAAAAGATGGTATCTTCATTCTACTGAAATGAGAAAAATAATTTGGAGTATGCCAAGTGGTAAAAGAATGGAGAGACATTATTTCAGTAGAGTTTACCTGCCAAGCACAATACCGGTAATCCCAGCACTTGGGAAGCTGAGTTCAAAATTAGCCTAGGCTACATATTAAGACGTTGCATTAAATGTCATAAAGAAAAATGCACAATGTCTGTTTATCCTAAAACATTGTCCAGATCTCAGCTTCCTGAGTAGCTAGTATTAGAGGTGCAAGCCACTGGTGCCCAGTACTTCAGAGGATTTTTAATATCCACAGGGTCCTGGAACCAATCTTCCACAAATACAGGGAGTTGTACTGGCCTAGAGTCTTCAGTTTAGCTTATATGTGTTATGTGTATCCTATTCCTAGAAAGACATACAAAGCTATCAAATAATTTTAGAGGGTTTTAGAGTGAAAGTTGATACCTTTTTATTTCAATTAAATTTTTACCTTCCCTTTAAGTGGCCTAGTAAAACTAGCAATGAGCAATGTGGTGATGGCCTTTTCATTGTGGATGTCCATTTGGACATTGCATCTGTGGCTGAGTCTCAAAGACCTGTTACAGCAGACAGAAAAGAGAGCCTTGCCTTTGGCAGAAGTACTCATGTCAAGAAGTGAATAGCTAAGAATGGAGTGGGGCTGAAGCTTAAAGACTGATTGAATCATGGAGATTTGAGTAAGAGCCAAGAGGAGTTAGGTCTGGTTTCTGGGCCCTGGGCAAGCCTTGCAAACTTCAAAGCATTTCAGTTTTAAACAGTAATTTTGGCACCTTTAATTGGCAAGCTGAGGGGCAGAGGCCACATCTGGCTGGAGCCTGAGCTGAAAACCAGTGTTTCAAGCTGGGCTTCCCCCAGGCAGCCCTTGATCCCTGGGTAGTTGCCCAGGTGTCTGCTGTAAATTAGTGTAAAGGCAGCACCGACTGCCACGGCACCGCCTCACCTCCATGTGCCTTCGAGTGACAGGTGGCACATAAGTCAGTCTTCCAGAGAAAAACTGAGGGTGAACTTGGAGGGTTCGATGAAAATCTCTTCATTGCTTCTCCCGAGCATCATTTCATTTCCTGCCTCTTACGAAGTTGTCCAGGAGCTGGGGATGCAGCTGGGGAGTGCTTGCCTAGCATGTGAAAGGCTCTGGGTTCCACACACACACACACCAGCATGGCCAACAAACTACAAAAGGTTTTTCAGGTTGGCAAATAGGACTTCTTCCTCCCAAAGGAAAGCCAGACACACAGGGTGAAAGTTGGGTGAATAGCCAAGCATACACAAGTCAGCAGAGGATAAAGACCACCATGCTTCCAAGGTGCCATCTCCTCTGACCAGGGCAAGACAGACTGCTCTGGCTGGCTGATCCATCACCTCCTCAAAGTGGAACTCTGATCACAAAGGAATTCATGGTCAAAGGTGAATGGAGGTGTAAGGTGATGGAAAGGAAGTCTGACCAAACTTGGAAAAAGAATGGTCCTTGTTCATGATGGTGGATACCTGGAGTGAAGATGTGTATTTCGTTTTTTTTTTTTTTTTTTTAAATATATACTGGGAGCTAAAGTTTGGCTTCACACTCACTGGGCAAGTACTCTACTTGAGCCACACAACTGGTGCAAGATTTCTTTCTGTTTGGTCTGCAGTTCTCAGGCTGGCTTTTCCCTTGGATGGGCACTGTCCCAGTCCAGGGTCGGTATCTTGTGTATTCACAGAAAGCCGGCAGACACCTCCAGAACCCCGGCTCCAAGGCTGGAAAAGAACTCACAAGTGATGTGAAGAAAATACTCTGCCACACACCTGCAGATCCAGCCACTTGGGAGGCTGAAGCAGAAGGACCTCTTGAACCCAAGAACTTAGCACCAGCTTAAGCAACACTGAAAACCTGTGTTTAAACCCTAGAATTTTTTTTGGGGGGGGAGGGTCAGTGGTTGGGCTTGAACTCAGGGACTGGGTGCTGTCCCTGAGCTTTTTTGCTCAAGGCTAGTCTCTCCCACTTTGAGCCACAACACCACTTCCAGATTTCTGGTGGTTAATTGGAGATGTCTCATGGACTCTCTTGCCCTGGCTGGCTTTGAACTATGTTCCTCGTATCTCAGCCTCCTGAGTAGCTAGGATTATAGCCATGAGCCACCAGCGATTGGCCAAATCCTAGAATTTTTTTTTTTTTGGGGGGGGGTCAGTCATGGGGCTTGAACTCTGGGCCTGGACAGTGCTCTTCAGCTCAAGGCTAGCACTCTACCACTTGAGCCACAGGGCCACTTCCTAATCCCTAGAATTTCAGTGTACATGACCTTGGGAAAATTGTGTAGCCTCCCCTGGTCTATGCCCCTAATTACAAAAGGATGGGAAATCTAGGATCTTCTCTGGTTCAAATCCCACAGGCAACTCCCCTGGTTGGATCTCTAACAGGCCTGGACCCTAGCACTCTCCAGAGAAGGCCCCCAGCAGACTAGAGGACATTTTCAGAGCCTTCCTTCCAAAAGCAAGAGCTACTGCCAGCTGAGCATGACGCTGACTCGCAGCAGGTGTGTCGCTTGGATTGGTTTGGATGATTCCACCCTGCCTGCCTCCTCTGGACTGGACTGTCTTCTGCTGGCAAATTGCTGCTTTCCCCAGGCAGTTATGAGGGTGAGATGAGCTGATAAACAAGACAGTGCTACAAAAGCTCCGAGATACAAAGCTGAAACAAAGCTGGCTTTTACTTCCCTCCTGCATCCCATCACCTACAAGCTCTCCTCACACCAGGAGCCCTGCAGACAGATGTGGGGGTCGGGAGAAAAACACATTGAAGAAGGCCTGTTCTGTTCTATCAGAAACATGGGCTTAAGAAATCCACTGGCTGGGTGCCGGTGGCTCACGCCTGTAATCCTAGCTACTCAGGAGGCTGAAATCTGAGGATCGCCGTTCAAAACCAGCTTAGACAGGAAAGTCAGTAAGACTCTCATCTCCAATAAACCACTAGAAAACCAGAAGTGGTGCTGTGACTCAAGCGGTAGAAAGCTAGCCTTGAGCTGAAGAGCTGAGGGACACCATCCAGGCCCAGAGTTCAAGCCCCACAACAGACATTTAAAAAAAAAAAAAGCCAGGCGCCGGTGGCTCATGCCTGTAATCCTAGCTACTCAAGAGGCTGAGATCTGAGGATCTCAGTTCAAAGCCAGCCTGGGAAGGAAAGTCCGAGAAACTCTTATTTCCAATAAACCACTATGGCTATGGCTCAGGCGGTAGAGTGCTCGCCTTGAGCTGAAGAGCACAGGGACAGCGCCCAAGCCCAGAGTTCAAACCCCATGACCAACCAAAAAAATAAATAAAGGGCTGGGAAGGTGGCTCAGTGGTAGAGTGCTTGCCTTGCATGCATGAGGCCCTGGGTTCAATTCTTCAGCACCACATAAGCAGAAAAAGGCAGAAGTGGCGCTATGGCTCGAGTGGTAGAGCACTAACCTTGAGCTGAAGAGGTGAGGGACAATGCTTAGGCCCAGAGTTCAGGCCCCATGACTGACCAAAACAAAACAAAACAAAACTAACTTAAAAAAAAAAAAAGAGTAATGGTGCACACCTGTAATCCCAGAATTTGAGAGATTAAGAGGCTAGCCAGTTGAAGATACTGTATAATGACACCATGACTCATGAAGGGAATATAAAATGTTGCTCACTTCTTTGTTCTTTAAAATGCAACTGAAACTTGGTCAGGAGCTGATGTACAGTCCTGGGCAGGGCCGAGGTGAAAGTGAGCTCATTTGGCTTCAGCCATCAGCTGTAATTTTATAAAAACTCAAACTGCCTTTTTTTTTTTCTTGTACCAGTACTGGGACTTGAACTCAGGGTCTCACACTCTTGATCAATTTTTTACTCTGCCACTTGAGCCATACCTCCACTTCTTTTTACTGCTTAATTGGAGATAGGAATCTTTTAGCTATGTCTGCCTCAATCCTCAGATTTCAGCCTCCTGAGTAGCTGGGATTACAGGTGTTAGCCACTGGCATCTGCCTCCCAATCTGTTTTCAGGAGAAAGCAGAAACTTGAGATTTTTGTGTGAAATACTCCAATTTTTAAATTTTGACAATGTTGCCTGGAAGGATCTAAGTATAGGCAGCCAAAGGCCCAGTTCTAATAGAGCCATTCGTTTGAACTTCCCAACTGGGTAACTGGTCAAACAATTTGCCTCAATTTGCTTTCCCACCTCTGAATGGAGAAACTGTGCTGCCTCCCAAGTGAAGTTCTAGCAGGGTTTCTCGGGTCACCTCTGTGTTGCAGTGACAGCTCCTAGAGCTTGGGCCACAGTCCCCACCACCAGCTCTTGATAGAAATTCTGTAATCTCCCTGGAAGTCAGTCATACAGGCTCATGACTCTGTGCCCGTGTAGGACTTCAGGCAATGTCTAGATCTCTACTCCCTCCCCCCTCCTTTTAAGGCCATGCCCTACATTCCTGGAATATCTCTGGATAGTGCTGGAAACCCACAGGTGGGTCCAGGTCTCCCGGGTCAGGGGCCAGTGGCCCAGGGAACCCGCTAGATCCTCGGCTCCCGCGGGTCCCAGCTCCAGGGCGATGGACCCACTGATGCTTGGACATGGCTGACTTCTGGCCAAAGCATCTGCCACACTGAGGACAGGGATAAGGGCGCTCGCCACTGTGGGTCCGCCTGTGGGCTGCCATTTCTGAACTCTGGCGGAAGCAGCGTCCACAGTCTGGGCAGGGGTAGGGCTTTTCGCCGGTGTGAGTGCGCATGTGCCGCCTGAGGTCCGACGCATGGGCAAAGGCTCGGCCGCAGTCGGCACAAGGGAAGGGGGTCAAGCCGCTGTGCACCCGCTGGTGCTGGTGGAGGGCGGAGCTCTGGCTGAAGCAGCGGCCACAGTCAGCGCAGCAGTAGGGCTTCTCGCCAGTGTGGACCCGCAGGTGCGTGTTGAGGGCGGAGCGCTGCGTGAAGGCCCGGCCACAGTCAGGGCAGCGGTGGGGCCGGTCGCCTCGGTGGATGGCCCGGTGCTTGCTCAGGGAGGAGGCCCGGCCAAAGCCCTTGTTGCAGTCAGGACAGTGGAAGGGCTTCTCTCCGGTGTGGGTATAGAGGTGCTCTACTAGTGTGGAGCGCCAGGCGAAACTCTTGCCACACACATAGCAGCCATGACGCTGGTCTGCTCGGGGGACAGAGGGGTGGGCTCGGAGTGGGGGACGACCGCGGTGAGGTGCTTTGGCTACTGCCTCCAAGCCCTGAGGGAGTCCAGCAGAAGGGAGTCCCAGACCCTGCATCCCACGTGGCCCAGGGTCAGTAGAAACTGTCTCCTGCAGCGCTTCCACTGGCTCCCTTCCTCGCTTCTCTTCCTTGTTTCTGGAATCTGCTAAGCAATAGGAGGTACACTCAGACTCTGGTGTAGCCTGGTCCACGAACTCCACACCCCTTATCAATGACAGGCCTCCCAGACATAACCACCTCTGGGCCCCAAGGCTGCTCCTTGGGGGGGGGGGCGGGGTGTGAAGTTGTGTTGGATCACGCAATGAGTGGCAGTGTGTGATAGTGTCTAAGCCAGATCATTCAGGGTGAATCAATGTTGCAGAAAGCAAGAATGGCATAATAAAAGGCATGCCTGAGCCACCAGTGTTTCCTGCCTGTGATCCTAGCTATTCACAAAGCTGAAATCTGAGGACTGTGGATCAAAACCAGCCTGAGCAGGAAAGTCTGTGAGACTCTTTCACCACACACACACACACACACACACACACACACACACGGACATTAGGCTTGAACTCTGGGCCTGGGTGCTGTCCTTAAGCTCTTCAGCTCAAAGCCAGCACTATACCACTTGAGCCACAGTGCCACTTCTGGTTTTCTGATGGTTAACTGGAGATAAGTGTCTCATGGATGTTCCTGCATGGGCTGGCTTTGAACGGCAATCCTCAGATCTCAGCCTCCTGAGTAGCTAGGATTACAGGCATAAGCCACTGGTACCCAGCTGAGATACTATCTCCAATAACCACCAAAATGTCAGAAGTGGAGCTGTAGCTCAAGTGGTAGAACACTCACCTTGAGCACAAAAGCTCAGAGACAGCAGTCAGGTCCTGTGTTCAAGGCCAAGGACCAGCACACACACACACACACACAAGGCATGGCTGTGGCTGGCACTGCCTGATCCACTGGGACCTGGACACTGCAAAGGTTGACAGGAAAAACTAAAGAAACCAATGGAATCAGAGAACGGAGGTGGTAGAAGAGGCAGAGTAACGATGCGGAGCTCAGTGACACACTGAAGTGCTCAGAGCAGAGATCTACAAGTTCTCGCACGGCAGCAGCACCTGAAATCACAGCTCCCTTCTAGACTGAACTACAGGAGCTGGACAGCGGCCGGGCACAAGTGGCCTTCGCTGAGAAAGCAATTCAGAGAGGAGGCAGACAAGCCCCCACGAGGAAACCATACTTCACCTGGGGCTGTGCCCGCCTGACACCTGGCCACCTCCGGATCCTGGGCATCCAAACCCCACAGTTCAGCCTCTTCCTCTACCCAGGAGATGAGCGCTGGCTTGGTGCCTCCTTTGCCTGCAGAAAAGAACGCAAAACCCACGCTGCCATGAGGCTGCCCGCACTCGACGTGCAGCACCCAGGGCATGGAGGCTCCTGGGCCCAGGACGCGGGGTGTGGGAGGGGGGGGCGTGGGCCCAGGACCCAGCGCGTGGGGGGGGCGTGGGCCCAGGACCCAGCGCGTGGGGGGGCGCGGGCCCAGGACCCAGCGCGTGGGGGGGCGCGGGCCCAGGACCCAGCGCGTGGGGGGACGCGGGCCCAGGACTCGGGCGCGGGGGGCGTGGGCTCGGGCGGCCGGGCCGGGCCTCACCGAGCGCGCCCAGGAGACCGTAGGTCTCCCGCATCACGTCGCGGTACAGGGCCCTCTGTGCGGGGCGCAGACACCCCCACTCCTCGGGGGAGAAGTACACGGCCACGTCCGCGAAGCTCACGGCCCCGGGCTTCCGGCACGCGGGAGCGGCTCCGCTCGGCTCTCGGGTGGGGATCGGGGCCAGAGGCGGCGCCATGGGACCCGGCCGGCCGCCGCCGCCCCCTCCCCGGCCCGGGTGTGCGGTTCCAGGGCGGCGCCCGGCGCTCAAGAACCCCTCCCAGCCCGGCCCGACGGCCTGGCACGAGGCCTGAGGAGAGGCTGGAAGCAGCCTCTGGAGGGCCCACGAGAGTGAGGAAAATCCAGAGCCGAGGGCGGAGGACACAACCTCAGAACCGGAAGAGGCCTTCCTAAAGAAGGCGGCGATCCGGCATCCCCCGAACTTTGCCCTGACGTTAGTCGTGCTCGGCGCGCTGCCACTCCGGGGCTCGTGAGCCGCTTTGTCTCCGTGCCCTCAACCAAAATGGCCGCGGCAGCTACAAGTGCCAGTCTGAGAACCCGCTGCGCGGCCACTGAGCCAGGGGGGGCTACGACGCCTCGGAGCGCGGGAGGCGGAGCTGCACCCCCCAGTCCGGCTCAGGCTCGGGCTCCGGCTCAGGAGAGCCCCCTTGGAAGAGAGGGCCCCTCCGCGAATTTATACTCCAGCCCCAGTCCATTGCCCTCTTGCTCTTCCCTCATTTTTTTATATTTTCTTACTTTTTATTGTTTGTCGGTCGTGGGGCCTGAACTCTGGGCCTGGGCACTGTTCCTCAGCTCTTCAGCTCAAGGCTAGCGCTCTACCACTTGAGCCACACCGCCACTTCCAGCCTTTTCTGCTTATGTGGTGCTGAGGAATCGAACCCAGGACCTCAAACATGCAAGGCAAGCGCTCTACCACTGAGCCACCTTCCCAGCCCCTCCCCTTTTTTTTTAAATTTATATTTTGAAATTGTTTTTGAGAGGGTCTATGAAGCCCAGTCAGGCCTTGAACTCATCCTCTTCTTGCCCAGCCTCCTTTTTTCTTCTGTTGTTTTTTTTTTTCTTTTTTCTTTTGTTTTTGCCAGTCCTGGGGCTTTATCTCTGGGCCTGGGCACTGTCCCTGGACTCCTTTTTGCTCAAGGCTAGCATTCTACCACTTGAGCCACAGCTCCACTTCCAGTTTTTTTCTGTGATTCATTGGAGATGAGTCTCACCAAAAAAAAAAAAAAAAAGACTTTCACAGACTCTCCTGCCTGGGCTGACTTTGAACTGTGATCCTCAGATCTCAACCTCTTGAGTAGCTAGGATTGCAGGCAGGAACCATCAGTGCCTGGCTTGCCTCAGACTCTTGAATGCTGGGATTACAGGTACACATCACTACACTCAATTTGTTCATTATCTTAAAAAACTGGGTGGGGCTGGGAAGGTGCTCAGTGGTAGAGTGCTTACCTTGCATGCATGAGGCCATGCGTTCGATTCCTCAGCACCACATAAGCGGAAAAAGCCAGAAGTGGCACTGTGGCTCAAGTGGTAGAGCACTAACCTTGAGCTGAAGAGCTGAGGAACAGCTCCCTGTAAGGTCCGCTCCTAGATGGCTAGCAGACTCCACCCTCCTCGCAGCAAAGTCTCCACCCAGTACCTGCGTTACCTAGGCTACTGGGACACCTGGAAGAGGTCACATCTGCATCCGCTGAGGTCACATCTGAATTTGATGTGGCCACACCTTTCTCCGCCCATACCCTAGATAAGGGCTAGCCCAGGCCCAGACTCGCTGGCTGCTCTGTTCCTCTCTGCTCTCTCTCTGCTCTTTTCTAGCTCTCTGCTCTCTCTGCTCTCTCTCTCTCTCTCTCTCTCTCTGCTCTCGCTCTTTTGCCAGCCGTGTGGAGTGTCAACCTTGCCTGCTCCCAGCAGGTCTACTGAATAAACCCACCCCTTACCTGAATACCACGTGCGTGGTGCAGTTCTTACTCGGCGACCTCTTTTTAAAAACCTAACACTCCCAGACCCAGAGTTCAAGTCCCACAACCGGCAAAAAAAAAAAAAAAGTACTGGGTGACAGCAATCATTTCTCAGTGTTGGGGACAAAAACAAAAACCAGTGACACAAGAAATTTTTTTCATTTGTATCTATGTTTGAGGGTAGGGGAGACTCTGAGAAAGGACAGAAACCATTTTTTTACAAGCTGACCTACCTCTCACCACTAGCACAGGTCCTGCTGTTTCTCTGCTGGATGCCTCACAATCACAGGATTTGGTTAGATTCAAACTGAACTCTTAAAGACTCGAGGGTAGCAACTTAAGCAGTTGCTTAGCCTATGTGAGGCCCTGAATTCCTGAGGCAGGGGAGAAAGGGAAGATCACTTTTCTTTTCTGTTTTTGGTCGTGGGGCTTGAACTCTGGGCCTGGGCCCTGTCCCTCAAGGCAAGTGCTCTACCACGTGAGCCACACGGCCACTTCCGTGATCACTTTCCCTCAGCATCCCCCTGACCAAGATCTTGATCTCAAATATCACCATATCTACCTCCTAAAACCTTCCTCCCACATGTCTTCAAACCTATCCTGTCCCAGGAAGAAGACTTGGTCATTTTCTTGGGCTGGTTCAATCAGTCACCCCATTTGCAAGGCTCACTTCCTGGAAAGAACTTCATTGCTACTGCAGGTGCAGTGTTTACCAGACGTCTCTATCTCTGCCTCCTGGCAAAGGCTCCCTTTAGGCTACAGTCTGACACCCTACAGCTGTTCCGAGCTTCTAGGAAAGCTGCGCAAATAGTTAATCACACCAGAGGAGGGAGGAAACAAAAACAAAAAAACCTTGAGGAGAGGAATCCTAGTGCCTGAGGCACTTACCTGTAATCCCAGCACTCTAGAAACTGAGGCAGGAAGATCTAGAGTTCCAGGCATATATAGAAAAAAAAAAGAAAAGAAAAGAGAGACTGGGAAGGTGGCTCAGTGGTAGAGTGCTTGCCTTGCATGCATGAGGCCCTAGGTTCGATTCCTCAGCACCACATAAGCAGAAAAAAGCCAGAAGTGGTGCTGTGGCTCAAGTGGTAGAGTGCTAGCCTTGAGCTAAAGAAAAGAGCTGAGAGACAGCACCCAGGCCCAGAGTTCAAGGCCCATGACTGGCAAAAAAAAAAAAAGAAAAGAAAAGAAAAGAAAGGCCAGGTGCTGGTGGCTCACGCCTGTAATCCTAGTTACTCAGGAGGCTGAGATCTGAGGATCACGGTTCAAAGCCAGCCCGGGCAGGAGAGACCGTGAGACTCCTATCTCCAATAAACCACCAGAAAACTGGAAATGGCGCTGTAGCTCAAGTGGTAGAGCGCTCGCCTTGAGCTGAAGAGGTGAAGGACAGCGCCCAGGCCCAGAGTTCAAGCCCCACGGCTGACCAAAAAAAAATAAAAAAGAAAGAAAAAGAAAAGAAACTAAACAAACTACCCTTAAATTACCTATACACTCATTTTCTTTCTTTTTCTTTTGGCCAATACTGGGGCTTGAACTCAAGACCTGGGCACTGTCCCTGAGCCTCTCTGTGCTCAAGGCTAGCACTCTACCACTTGAGCCACAGCACCACTTCTGGCTTTTTCTGTTTATGTGGTACTGAGGAATCAAACCCAGTGCTTCATGTATGCTAGGCAAATACTCTACCACATTCCAGACTTCATTTTCTTTTGTAACAATTTTTTTGGTCTTTTTCTTTTTTGGTATTGGCTATCAAACTCAGAACCTTGTTTGCTAGGCAAGTGCTATGCCACTGAGCTATATCCTAGCCTTATACTTATTTTCTTAAACTGTACTGGTAAACTGAGTGTTGGTGACTTATGCCTGTGATGCTAGCTGCCTGAAGATTGCTGTTCAAAACCAGACTGGGCAGGAAAGTTAGAAGTGGAGCTGTGGCTCAAGTGGTAGAGCACCAATCTTGAGCAGAAGGGACAGCACCTAAACCCTGAGTTGAAGCCCCAGTACCAGCAAGGCAGGGAGACTTGCTAGGAATGATGTTCTGTGGTAGGACACATTGTTGAACCAAGATAAGAGTTGCTGTTCTAAGTCTATGGAAGCTAGAGCAGGTAGGACTTGCACTTACACAGGTTTTCTAACTTTCTGTACAGATTGTGTTCGGGACTGTAGTGAGGTAAGACTCAGAGGCATTTAGCATGGGGCAGAAGGGCTCCAGGAAGTTTTTGGAGATAGCACTTGTGGGCATTGAAGGACAAGGCTAAATTTGGAGTTTTCAATGGGATAGTTCATTTGTAGGTGGAAATCTGCTTTGAAGGAGCCTAGTAGGTTGTGACCCCTGAAGGCCTCTAGAGGTCCTTGGAGGCCACTGGAGGAGTTTGGCAAGGGAAACTGATGAGGAAGGAATCGCGGTAAGCCGAGTCACCATGGGGGCAGAATGGGAGAGAATCAGGCAAGAGGGATCTGTAAGCCCACATCTTGTAACCTCTTCCTTCTGGGTTCTGGGTTCTGGGTTCAGGCCCGGCCTTTTCCAGTATTTAAGACCGGGACCAAGAGGTCCTCCGCTCCAGGGAGGGGCGCGGAGGAATCGGAGGATGGAAGGAGGAGACGCTCTAGGACGGTGAGAAACGGCGGTTACGCAACTCTGTGGTCATGGAGCCAGGAAATGCTGGCGCCCTGAGTAAGTATGGCAGCGCCCGAACTTCTTTTCGTGGTAGAGAAAAGCATTTTAATAGCTCATACGTCTATGTATTTTTGACCTGGTTGGTTCTGCCTCGAAGTTGTCTTTTGTTGCTTTTTCAATGACCTGGGCTAGGGAGGGGCCTTCTTGCCCATAGTTAAGATGGCCGCAGCTGCTTCGGCTTCTGAGCTCAGAGTGACGTCAGCTGCCTAGAGTAGGGGAAAAAGGGGGTCCAGAAGGGATTGGTGTCTCCTTCTCAATTTATGCAAGAAGGTCCAGTCAGTGTTGGTCTTGAAAAATACATTTTTTGCAAGTTTGTTTCACATTTTTTTCTTTTAACAAGGTACCAATGAATAATAGTATATTTCTCATAACCTAGTATTTATTAACCAAACTCCCTCCCTCTCTCCTTTTTGTGCCTAGGATGGAACAAAGGGTTTTGTCCTTCTAGACATATCTATGTGATATTTCCACAAGGTGCTTGCATTAGCCGAAGACACTGGGCAAATATTTTTCAGTCCCTTAAGGTTCAAGGTCATTTTTCAAAATTTAAAGGTAAAGCCTGGATATTACCCAAGATCAAACAGTTCAGAGTCCTAAATGCCCTTTCTACTTGTCCTGCACTGCCTCCTACAGGCCAATTTCAGAAAAGGCACAGTGAATACTTCCACTGTGCTGACCTCTGCTGACCATGTGAAAACTAGATTTTTCATTTATTCAGGAATTACACGAGTTACTAGATGACAGGACTTCTTTGTCTCCTTGTTTCACAAGAGGAATAAGGAGATTACAGTGTGATTTAAGATTAAGAGCATAGGTTTCAGGGTTGGAGTGCCAGCTAATAAGCAAAAACTTCAGATAAACCAAGTTTGAGTCCCAGTCTCAGATGAAAGAAAGAAGGAAGGAAAGAAGGAAGGAAGGAAGGAAGAAAGAAAGGCAGGCAGGCAGGTGGGCAGGCAGGCACTGGTGGCTCACACCTCTAATCTACTCAGGAGGCTGAGATCTGCAGGGCAGAAAAGTCCCTGTGAGACACTTATCTCCAAGAAACAACCTCCCCCCCCCCCCCCCCAAAGCCAGAAGCGGTCCTGTGGCTCAAGTGGTAGAGTGCTAACCTTGAGCACAAAGAGGTTCAGGGACAGTGCCCAGGCCCTGAGTTCAAGCCCCAGGCCCAGCAAAAAAGAAAAAAGGGAAAGAGAATAGACTACAAGCTGGTTGATGTTCATAGCCTCTCTTCTATTGCCTTGGCCTGAACTTTTCCCCACCACGCTTTCTCCTGACTCATGGGAAGAACACCAGCTGCCTCCTCCTCCCAACAGCACTGTCTGGCAGATTGTCAGCCAGGTGAGTCAGAGTTTGCCTCTGGGTGTCCCTATCCTAGCCCCAATCATGTCTTCCCTATAGCTGTGTCTCTGAAGCCTAGCACAGAATCTGCAAAGGTCTGGGATGCCATTTACTGAGTGAATCAATGAATGAAGGAGGCCATGTTGGTTTAAATTTGAGCCAGAGTCTCACTGTACCACGCTGGCCTGAACTCTCCACCCCTTGCCTCAGACTCCCCTGAGTGCTGGGATAACACGAATAGAATGACACCACAGCTTGTTTTGGCTTCATCTTCAGAGTGAAACCAGGCATCAGCCTTGCTGGGGCACTCAGATCCCTGTACAGATTCCCCCAGCTGGGAAACACTGAGTCCAACATCTTGATTCCCCAACCCAAGTTGTTTGCCCAGATCTGATTTCTCAGAGGAAGTGGTAGAAAAATATGGGCTTTTCTACCCAGAGTCCATTTCTAGCCTCGTTGCCAGGTAGCAGTGAAACTTGGAGAACAGCGCTTCCTTTCTCCAAGCCTCAGTTTACTTAGCTGCAAAATGGGTGCTGTTGGCCATGCCTACCTTGGCAACTTCTTTCTTCCTCTTCTTCTTCTTCCTCCTCCTTCTCCTCCTCTACTTTGTGCCATTACTGGAGGCTTGAACTCAGGTCCTGGATGCTGTCCCTTAGCTTTTTCACTTGATGGTTCTCTCTAGGATACATCCCTAGGTTCTCTTTATTTATTTATTTTTGGTCCAGTCGTGGGGCCTGAACTCTGGGCTTGGGCGCTGTCCCTCAGCTCTTCAGCTCAAGGCTAGCGCTCTACCACTTGAGCCACAGCGCCACTTCTGGCTTTTTTCTTTTTGCTTATGTGGTGCTAAGGAATCGAACCCAGGGCCTCAGGCATGCAAGGCAAGCGCTCTACCACTGAGCCACCTTCCCAGCCCCCCTAGGTTCTCTTTATACTTTCTATAGTGTAAATTATGGACAATAACTCATTCAACGATGTTTATTGAACATTTACTACGTCATACATATTATTATCATTTCAGACATCACAGCACCTTCTGAGGTAGATATTATCATCTTCCTTTCACAGGTGAGGAAACTGAGGCCCAGGGAAGCCTTGTGACTTACCAGGAGTCCGTTAGTGGATGAGACTCAGGGTTGTCCCTTGCATGTGTACTTTCTGCAACAAGCTGTCCAGCTTCCTGCTGGTGACAAGTAGTGAGGGCAGGACTTTGCCCTGACTGAGCCCCTCCCCATAGCTGGTTTCCCTCTTTGCTTACTTCTGAAATAGATAAGGACTGAGTGGATGTTCTTTCCAAAGAGGATGCTCTTCAACCCCGATAATGTAAAGGTGTCAGCGACTTATGTTGTTGGAGCAATACTAAGGAAAGGTTCAGTATTTCTCCCTTCCTTCCTTCCTTCTTTCCTTCCTTCCTTCCCTTCTTCCTTTCTGCTTGCCTGCCTGCCTGCCTGCCTGCCTCCCTCCTTTCCTTCCTTCCTTCCTTCCTTTTTGCTCCTTTCTTCCTTTCTTTGGTGGTGCTAAAGATGGAACCAAGAATAGGTTACACTTTATCACTGAGTTACAACCCCAGCCCTTGGTGTTTTTGTTTTTGTTTTTTTTTGGGGGGGGGGGGGCAGGACAGAGTCTTCACTATGTAAGCTAGCTAGCCTGGCCTGGAACTGGTGATCCTCTGCCTCAGTGCTGGGATAGGATCCTAAGTGTGCACCATTATACTGGGTTGGGTTGGTGTGTGGGGGTGGGGTGGGGATGTGTGTGTGTAGAGCAAAAGACTAGGGGAGAGAAGGGGATGTCAAGTTTAATCTATTGGAATCTTTACAGGCACTTTTCTTTTTACAATATGGAAACTTGAGAGATCCCTGAGGGATCCCCAAAAGAATGAACTTGAGTTCCCAAGTCCCTGTCTCTGGGAGCCACCCCTCTGGGCCCAGTGAGTCTTAGGTGCCAAAGCCAGGCTTTGGCTCCAACCTGCCTCAGGCTCAGCTGCACTCCTCGAAGATGTCCGGATAGTGTCGGAAGAGCACAGGTGGATCCCGGTCTCCACGCACGGGGGCCCGAGGCACAGCCCGGATTCCAGGCCTACGACCCCGCCGGCCCCCGGAGCAGGAGCGGTGGATCCACTGGTGTGCCTCCACGGCGAACTTTCTCTTGAAGCGCATGCCGCACTCGGGGCAGGGGAAAGGCCGCTCGCCAGAGTGCATGCGCCGGTGGCTGACCAGCAGCGAAGGGTAGGTAAAGCGGCGGCCACAGTCAGTACACACATGGCGCCGCTGGCAGGCCTGGGCATCCACCCCGGGCACTGCCACAGGGGGTTGCGCAGTGGAGACCTGGTCCCGGGCTTCTTTCCTACGCTGTGCTCTGGCTGAGGCCTTGCTGACAGCTGAGTCACGTTTGTGTTTAACCAGGGGTTTGGGCTTCTCCTTCCCAGGTCCCACGGCTTCTGGCCTTCCCTTGGGTTCCCCTTCCTTCTGGTTTGGAGCATCGCCTGGGAAACGAGAAGAAATTATACTTTAAAACATTAGGGGCGGGGGAGGGAGAGAGGCCAGTGTCTCATGCCTGTAGTCCTAGCTACTCAGGAGGCTGAGATTTGAGGATTGCAGCCAAGGGCACACAAGTTCGTGAGACTCTTCAATAAAAACTACTCAGGGGAAAAAAAGCACCCACGGCCCAGAGTCCAAGCTTCTGGCAAAACAAACAAACAAAAAACCCACTGTGCATCAGAAAATAGGATGCTTTTATTTCTGGTGCAGGGGTCGGAAAAATACCCCCCGGTGATTAACATGCAGCTTTTGGCAAAAGGTCAACAGTTCTGTCTTTCCTTTAGGTTTAAATGGGGAAAACTAAATTTAAGTTCCCAGAGGCTTTGGGAAAATCAGTAGATGCATGTTTGTTAAGCTTATAAACAGTGACTAGTATGCCTTCTTCCTTTTCTTTCCTTCTTCCTTTCTTTCCTTTTCTTCCTTCCTTCCCTGCTTGCTTGCTTTCTTGCTTTCTTTCGTTGTTGTTTTGTGTGCAGGGTAAGATTCACTTTAGATTCACTCTGGAGAGGGTAAAGAGAGAAGAGTCAAACTGCCTTTTTGCAATTTTTTTCCTGGCCTGAGGAATGAAAATGACAGACCTGAAGCCACTTCCAGTGTGTGTGTGTGTGTGTGTGTGTGTGTGTGTGTGTGTGTGTGTGTGTGTGTGTGTGTGTGTGTGTGTGTGTGTGTGTGTGTGTGTGTATTTTGTACTAAGGCTTTAAGTCAAGGCCTAGTGTGTGTGTGTGTGTGTGTGTGTGTGTGTGTGTGTATTTTGTACTAAGGCTTTAAGTCAAGGCCTAGACACTGTACCATAGTTTTCTCAAGGCTGATGTTCTACCACTTTAGCCATAGCTTCACTTCTACCTTTTTGGTGGTTAATTGGAGATTAAGAGTCTCAGGAATCCAGGTGCCAGTGGCTCACTCCTGTAATCCTCGCTACTCAGGAGGCTGAGATCTGAGGATCCCAGGTCAAAGCCAGTCAGGGCAGAAAAGTCCATGAGACTCTTATCTCTAATCACAGAAAAAGCTGGAAGTGGCCCTGTGGCTCCAGTGGTAGAGTGCTAGCCTTGAGCAAAAAGGAGCTCAGGAGAAGTACTCAGGCTCAGAGTTGGAGCCCCAGGACCAACCAAAAACAAAGTATCAGGCAGTGAGTCTGGCTTTGAATTAGGATCCTCGGATCTCAGCCTCCTGAGAAGCTAAGATTACAGACATGAACCACCAATGCTTAGCTCTTAGGGGACATTTTTAGTTCTTGGAAGAGAGTGAGCAGATGTTTTCTTTCAGAGACACCTGGAAAACTTCGAAGTTTTAGTTTTCAGCTCTTGATCTACACTGGTCTCAACCTATGACGACTGTCCCAAGTTCGAAAACGTTCTAGTTTGGTTTTCTTTCTTTCCTCTTCTAGTATCCAATGTCGTTGGGGTCTTTTATTTTCTCTAGGGGTGCTGGGAATTTGGGGACCCTGAAAGAAAACTGCTAAACAGGAAACTCCAGACAACCAAGTCGGGGGGGGGGGGTCCCTTGGAACAACCCCTCACCTCGCAGAGCTCCTCCCAGGTTTTCCCCCTCCTCAGGATCCTGAGCGGCGGGGTTCCAAGCCTCACTCTCCCCTTCCATCCAAGAAATGAGAGCTGGTTTGGGACCAGGGAGTCCTGGGAGAAAATAGGGATCACATTGCTGGCTTGCAAGGGTGTCGTGGGACGTTGGCATCCCCCTGCGGGGGTGAGGGCACCTCCTCCGAATGCATGCTCAACCTGAACAGGGTCTGCAACGCTCTTGCGTGAAGGAAGCAGATGCGGGATGGAAAGACTCCCGAGGGGTACCCGAAGCCCTGGGCATGGGAGGCGGCTCGTGCTGTTGGGTGGAATGGTGCGGGATTAGGGCTCACGATCCACTCGTGCCCTGTGAACCCGGGTGAGGGAGGAGGGGGGCTCTGACCCGGGGCCTCACCGAGCGCGCCCAGGTGGCCGTAGGTCTCCCGCATCACGTCCCGGTACAGGGCCCTCTGTGCGGGGCGCAGACACCCCCACTCCTCGGGGGAGAAGTACACGGCCACGTCCGCGAAGCTCACGGCCCCGGGCTTCCTGCAACCCGGCGGCAGCTCCCCGGGTCCCAGAGCCAGCAGCGGGGCCGGAGGCGGCGCCATCGGGGCTCCGGGCCCCGGGCAGAGGCCGCCTGGTCCCCGGGACCACCGCCCCCTGCTCCCGGCCTCAGCTGTCGCCGTCCTCGGGAAGGGCGGCCCGGGCCCAGGCTCCGCCCAGCCTCGGTAACGGAACGCTGCCGGCGAGGCGAACCGAAGTCCAGGACTGGCAGCTAGGGACGCGGGAGAGCTGATGGGGACAAATAAAATCCCTTGATGTTTTCATGGCCGTTAGGACTGAGACCCCCCGTGAAAGGGCCCGGAAGGCGCCTTCAGAAAAGATGGCGACCACCTGGCTTCAAGTGCCACTGCTTGTAGTTCAGGGGCTGGTGTCTGAGAATATCAAATATGGCTTCTTTTGTCTCAGCCTCCCGTCTGCCCTTAAATTCAATGGCCGCTACGGGAGATTTTTTTCTTCTTCTTCTTCTTTCCCCTTTTTTTCTTCCCGTGGAATTGGGAAGTCTAGGAAACCTTCTTGCCTTCAAGAAAGATGGACGTGCCCGCAGCTTCACAGCGTTCTCCCCGCTTGTCTGTGTATACCGGCCGATGATTGGCTGGAACTACGGCAGACACTGTGCGCTGATTGGTTCCTGGCGGGGGCGCGGTTGAAAAAGATTCTCAGGGCTGAGTCCCGAGGAGGTCCTCCAGCTGGGTAGTTAGTTGGGACCTGCGTCTACAACCGCCGTTCACCTGACGACGGGCGTTGGGAACTGGGATCTGGGATCGGGTCCCAGCTCAAGCTTGCAGACGCAGCAGGTACAGCTGCCGAGGGTAGAAGCCAGGGTACGGATTGGCAACCGCAAAAAGCGGTGGTACTGGGGCTTGAATTCAGAGTCTGGACACTTGCCCTTAGCTTTTTCACCCAAGGCTAGCGCTTTATCACTTGGGCACAGCTCAATTATTCATTCATTCATTTGGCGGTTACTTGGAGGTAAAAAGGCTCAGAGACTTTCTTTCCTTGGCTGATTTCAAACCTTAATCCTCAGATCTCAGTCTCCTGAATAGTTACGATTACGTAGGCATGAGCCGCCGGTCCTCAGACTCCTTAAACTCTTGAATGTTTTAAGATTTGTATAAAGAGGAACCTAACTGTATTCAAACTACAAAGACAACTAGGTGAATTTATCACATTTTACCTTGAACAATACTGTGAAGTTGCCATTGGCTCCATTCATTATAAGGCAGTAGTGTTGGATTATAGGCTTACAGTCATAGAATATGTGGAGGCTAAGTTTGTTTGGAATTCAAGTCTGCCAATTCAGGAGAGGCTATGTAGTGAAATAAAAACCTTCAGTTTTTTTCTTTCCCAGGCGTGGGCTTGAACTCAGGTCCTGGGCACTGTCCCTGAGCTTCTTTTGCTGAAGCACTCTACCACTGGAACCATAGCACCACTTCTGGCTTTTTCTGTGTATGTGGTACTGAGGAATTGAACCCAGGGTTTCATGCATGCAAGGCAAGCACTCTACCACTAAACCACATTTCCAGCCCTAGTAATCACTTTTTGAACTATGGGATTCAGAGAGGTAGCCATTTGTTAAGACAGGTTTGAGTCAACACCTGTGTGGATGTATTCCTTCAAGTTTCCTCTTCAAAAGTAGGATGCCAGGGCTGGGAAGGTAGCTCAGTGGTAGAGTCCATGCCTTGCAAACATGAGGCCCTGGGTTCGATTCCTCAGCACCACATAAACAGAAAAAGCTGGAAGTGGCACTGTGGCTCCAGTGGTAGAGCACCAGCCTTGAGCTGAAGAGCTGAGGGACAGCACCCAGACCCAGAGTTCAGGCCCCATGACCAGCAAAAAAAAAAGTAGGATGCCAAGTTCTGAATAGGTCAGGAAGGCTAGCCATTCAATTGTTAACACAGTAGCTCATTACAATAAAAAAATAGACTGAAGGTTTTTCCCCTTATAGCTACTGAGAGGTGTTTTGGTTTGAAGCCAAGATAGACAGAAAAGTCTGTGAGACGACATCTCCAGCAAAAAAAAAGCCAGACTGGGGTGTGGTTCAAGTGGTAGAACACCAGCTGTGAGCAAGAAAGCTAAGTGAGCTTGAAGCCTGGAGTTCAAGTCCCAGTACTTGAAAAAAAAAAAAAAAAAAAGACTGAAGAGACTATGCCTTGATTTTAACTGTCATCACAAATAATTTACTCACAATGTTCCCCAGCATTGTATTTCCAGTTGTTTTAGCCTGAGAACTCATCTTTAGCCAACAGATGCAAAATCCAGAGACCATGGGGGATAAAAAGACACGCCAGCCATTCCCTCAAGAACAGAGAAACCAAGCTGGGCACCAGTGGCTCATGCCTGTCATCCTAGTACTCATGAGGCTGAGATCTGAGGATTGTGCTTCAAAGCTAGCCTGAGCAGGAAAGTCTGTGAGACTCTTATCTCCAATAAACCACTAGAAAACCGGAAGTGGCACTGTGGCTCAAGCAGTAGAGTGCTCACCTTGAGATGAAGAGCTGAGGGACAGTGTCCAGGCCCAGAGTTCAAGCCCCATGACTGACCAAAAAAAAATAGAGAAACCAGTCTTGAAGTGTATTAGATTTCATACTTTGGTGTATTCTGTACAGAATGAGCAGAGAGCAGAAGGGTTCCCTCCTCCCCCCACCAGGCCACTATCTTTATCGTCACCCCCAAGTCTCCTGGGGTGAGCTACTCCTGTGGGACAGACTCACAATTCACAATGTGCCCTCTATCCCAAGATGGATGTGGTTTTTTTTCTTAGACTGGCATCTAAGTGACCTAGTTTCTGAGGCTAGAAAACAGTATTCAAAGGGAGAGAACAGGCCAGAAAGAAAGGCCAGCTAAATGAATGGTCTGCAGTGGATTACCTCCAAGTGGATCTTCAGGAGCTTTGTGAATGGAAGTCTCCAGAAACAGGGTTCAGCTTTCAATTTTTAAAAATACAAAAGGTTTTAATTCTAATTTTTAATACCCTTAGCAGTTTATGAATACAGTCTGATCGTACAGCTTTGCCACTCTCAAAGCAGTTGAACTAGGCCCTGAGTCCTCCATGCTTCTAGAACCTTCTTTTCCTGAGATGTTTCTTGCCTCATCTCCCTCATTTATAAACCTGCCTCTTCCTTTCCAGAGAAATCTGATCAACTTAGGTAAGCTCTCTTACTCACACTCCTGGAATATATCCCTAAAGTAAACAAGGGGATCTTGATCTTCCCAAAACAGATGTGCTCTGAAAACTGATGCAGCCTGTGGCCACCTCAGCCTCTCCTCAGAGCAAGGAACCCACTAATATGCCTTCAGCCTGCATACTTGCAGCTTGTGCCACACTGGCTGCAGGAGGATGGGCCAGACACTGAGCAGCAGAGAGGGGAGTATGTGAAGTGGAGGCCTCAGTCCAGGCAAGGATAGGTCTCCTCCCCTGTGATCGTGCCTGTGGCTGGCCAGCAAGTAGGGTTAGGTGAAGTGGCTCTTGCAGTTGGGGAATGGGTAAGGGTTCTCCCTCGTGTGAGCCCACCATGGATGGCTAAGAAGACCAGAAGTGGCACCCACCCTCTGAGCATGGGTAGGGCTTTTGCCCAGGAGTGGGTGAACCAGAGCTAGAGCAGTTAATTGTGTGGGAGAAATGAGCCTGGCTGATCACAGGAAAAAGGCCTCTCCCTGGTATAGACCCAGTGGTAGGTAGCTGACCAAAAGGGAAGGGTAGCTGAAGCTAGGGCCACAGTTGGAGTAAGAGTAGGGTGCTCTGGCACCTGGAATGTCCCTGAGCCCCATGGCTTGATGGGGCTCTACCAAGGGGTGGGCACTTCTAACAGAACTAGAACCAGGTAGCATGCTAGCTGGCAGCCTCTCCTAGAGAGATATTTCATCTCCAGTCTCTTTTTGTTTTGAATTCTTCTTCCACCCTTCTTTCTCATTCTTAATTCAGGATCCTGAGATGGGGAGAAAGAGAACCTGAAATGGCAGCGTATTCCAGGATATACCCTAGAAGAGAGATAAACAAAGTACATGGCCCTCTGGGAGCTTGGTTGAGTGGCGCCACAGGAAGCCCTGAAAGCTACCCTGGAGTGCAAGCAAATTCCATTGTCTGCATATAAACATAGGAGGATCATGAACATTGGAGAGAGTGGGAGAAGAGTCAACAATACTGAATCCCAGCTCTGTTTCAGGCACTAAGGACAGCAGTGGTCCCAGTCATGGAGTTTTCAGGCTGGAACCTGATTGAAGAGTATAAAATCTTCATCAAATAGACTTAAATGACCCTCCCTGCTGCCATTTAGGCCATCACCAAAAAGTCATTTGGTGATGGACTGGAGGGAAGACTTGGGAACATTTGTTACGACATGATGGCTTCAGGGAAAATATTCTGCCTTTGTTTTAACATCTGATGAGCCAAGTGCTGGTGGCACATGCCTGTAATCACAGCTACTCAGGAGGCTGAGATCTGAGAATCAGGATTCAAAGCCAGCCTGGGCAGGAACTTCCATGAGACTCTTATCTCCAATAAACCACTAGAAAACTGGAAGTGGCACTGTGGCTCAAGCAGTAGAGCGCTGGCCTTGAGCTGAAGAGCGCAGGGAGAGTGCCCAAGCCCAGTGTTCAAGCCCCATGACTGACCCCCCCCCCAAAAAAAAAATCCAGAAGTGCTGTGGCTCAAGTGGTAGAGCACTAGCCCTGAGGAAAAACAAAAATCTATGAAGCATTCTCACCCACATTGTGATCTACATGATATCCAAGAATAACACATCTTCATTTTATCACACTCCAATCCTTGACTTCTCAGGACACTCAAAGTCTATTTTGCATTAAACTGAAGTTATCCAGTATGAGCGATTGGTTCACAATAGCTGTTCTCTCCAGCTGTCTTGAAGTCAGAACTTGGTTAAGGTGCTGGAAAACTAAGGGGACTTCGGTGGGGGCAGTGTGCACTGAGAATGGGAATTGGGTTTGAAATAAAGTCCCTGTTACCTTTCCCTGCCCCAGTTGACAGCTAGTGGGCTCTCTCCCTCTGGATCCTAGGTTTCTGAGATCCAAATCTCCCACCTCTTCTTCCACCTGTGAGATAAAAGCAGGTTTGAGGCCTGAAAATCCTGCAAAGGAGAAAATTGAGCTTAGATCGGAACACACATGGGGCATGGAGGGGATGAGTCGGTTTCCTCCATGGCCTCTAGAACACATTACTGGAGGATCTAGCCCTCTTCCAGCGCTCAGGATCTTGTCCTGGTATCCGGAAGGCCCTCTGCGGCCCCGCCTCCTGGAATCCCGCCCTTAACCAACATGGTGCCTCTCTGGCGTCAACATCCCTTGCTTTGCCCTCTGCCCTTACGTGTGGAAGGGGAGACACTGACTGGAGGTTGGCTCCCACCGTTCAACCGACTGATAGATGACGTGCGTTGATTGGACAGTGCCGCGGGAAGAGGGAGCGCTGTGAATGGTCTTTCCGGAGCGGCCTGTTTAAAAGGCTTAGGATGAAGAAGCCACGGGCCGGGAGAGTGGCGGGAGCCTCGAAGACATTCCGTCTTTGCAAACTGGGAGAAAGATGGATTGACGCTGCTCCCTTCTTCTATGAGATTTCTTGCAGACAGGTCCAGGTAGCCAG